GCTGAAATTAGCCCCAAAAGGGCAAAACAAACGTAAAGAATACCCTGTCTGTCCGCCATCGTTGTTGTTGTTGTTGTTTTTCTTTTTAATTCGCATGCGCGAGCTGCGGTTTGACGTCATGGATCCGTAAAAGTCCAACCACACGAATCCACTACGGATACGGGATACGGATATTTTTTTATTTCTCCAGTTGTTTTTCTGGATTCAGATTTAACCGGTTTGAGTGCTCCAAACTCCCGTTTTGGTGTGGTAGGGAGGCCTAATCGGACATAAATATGTGCGGTTTGAAATATATCCGCATTCGTGTAGTTCGGGCCTAAAGGGGTGTTCAGACCAAACACACCGCAACCTGGTCGCGTCGCGTTGGTCGGTCGCGTCGCGTGGTGCTCTGGTGTGTTCACAGCAGGTCCAAAGCTGCAGTCGCAGGTCGCGGCTGGTCGCCGGTGACGTCATCCATTAGAACGTCACTAGCTCAGTTTTCAGTTCATCGTCCTCTGTGCTGCAGCATATCTGTACATCCGCAGTAGACGCCGCCGGCGTTTATGGGTGCATGAAACCATCCGGAGGAGGACGGAGCTGGGTGAATTTCACCGCTTGCTCCAGGAACTCCGCCTGGACGACGGCCGCTTCCAGCGGTATTTCCGTGTGTCAACGGTGCAGTTCGAGGACCTCCTCGCCCGGGTGGGAAGCAGCATCTCCCGCCAGGACACAAACTACAGGCGCTCCAGCTCAGCTTTGGAGCGCCTGTCTATCTGTCTGTCCCTCATATAAACGTCCCTAAGCCCCTTCAACCGCTTGCGGCTCACATCCACTGCAAAGACACACACACATACGTTGAAACATGTAGCCTACCAAGCAGGGGCAGTTAGCTATGTTTTCAGAAAGTAGTCTGCTCACTGAAATAAAGACACAAACAAACTTACCAGAAAGCCCGACGTCATGGGCCACCTTCGCCCATGCCTCCTCCATGGAGGTGCGGTCCCAGTAAAACGCGCACCCCATGTCGTACAGGACCGGGTGATAACTCATGGCAGTGATAAACTGCTCCTCTATTGTGATTCTTCTTCTCCTCTTCCTTGTTTCGCCGGTTTGTTGACGTCAGCAGAGCCCTGATTGGCTGTCACGGCACGGAGTCGCGGATAGTCGCTATTTGAACTTTGGGAGCGACACGACTTGGCGTCCTGCGACCTCGGCGACGCGACCTGGTGACCGGTCGCCAAGTCGCGTCAGGTCGCGTCGCAGGCAGCCGGCGGTCGCCAAGTCGCATCAGGTCGTGGCTGTCCATAGACTTTGCATTGGGAGCGGTCGCCGAAGTCGCGTTTGGTGTGAACGCCCCATAAGAGAGGAAATCAACATGACAGGGTCAAAACCCATATCTCTGACAACGGTGAAACGACGTTTGAGAAAGGCTGGTCTGAAGGTTTGTGTATCTGCAAAAAAAACACTACTTCATCCACAGAGCAAGAAAAAGAGATATGAGTGGGCAAAAGCTCACAAAAATTGGACTTATGATGACTAGAAACAAGTTTGAACTGTTTGGTTTAAAACGCAGAGTTGATGTCCACAGACAAACTGGTGAACGTCTGAAAGCACCATGTGTTACACCCACAATTCAGCATGGAGGTGGTAGTTCCATGGTATGGGGATGTTTTGCAGGTGATGGAGTAGAAGATTTGTTTGAAGTAAAGAGTATCATGAAGAAGGAACAGTACCACTCCATCCTCCAGCACCATGCTGTTCCATCTGGACTCAGACTTGTGGCTCATAAGTTTGTTTTGCAGCAAGACAATGACCCTAAGCACTCTGCCAAGCTCTGTCAGGGTTACCTATACAAAAAAGAAGAGGAAGGTGTTCTTCAAAAGATGGTTTGGGCCCCTCAGTCTCCAGACCTGTCTCAATTGAGCTTGTGCGGGATGAATTGGATCTATCGGTCAGAAAAACGCGTCCCACGAATCAGCAGTCTCTTTTTAATGAACTTAAGAAAGCTTGGAATGCAATCCCTTGAACATAACTTAAAAAACCTGTGGAACGAATGCCTGGTATATGCCAAGCTGTTGTTAAAGCCAGAGGAGGTTACTTTAAAGAAAGCAAAGTCTAAGCAACAATACCTCAAATACCTAATAATTATAGTCAAAATGTCTTCTGATAAGTTACTCTTTACACAAAAGTCATGTTTATTGTGTTGCAAATTATATATATGAAACTATGATCTTTTTCTGTACAAATCTGATCTTGCTTCCAAACTTTCGGCCTGTAGTGTATATTAAAACCATTAGTGTAGGAGAAGGGATGGGACTAGATAAGTCTCGACTTCTTCCCACTCCTTTTTGAACTTCAATAACTTTTTGTCAATTGTTGTTGTATTCTTTACTTTTATATTATATATATATATATATATGGTCAAAATAAACTTCAATCAACAACAATATCCTAGCCTGTCCTCAAGTAATTCATTATATACTTTTACAAAGTCCTCTGTTGGGAATAAGATAAGAGAATTTATCAGAGAACAATATTAAAGTTGCTTTCTAGGAGATAATTATGTAGTCCAAATTAACTTACCATAAACTAAACTTTAGCTACAATACAAAATATAATAAAGGATTATTCAATTACCAGTGATTTGCAAGAAATGAGCTCCTCTCCCTTCCTTCTTCTCAAACTAATTGTAAAGTTAATGCGGCTAAAGATGTTCCCGAACACTTAGGTACTTCAACACTTTCTTTTTTACAGTATTTTGGTACATGTAGCCTGTTTTAAAACAGTACCTGTCTTTTAAAGCAAGGAGAGTGGTACCAAGATAGCACTGCCCCAGTGCCTAAAATTTATATACAGCTTAAATATTGAATTTCCCCTCTGGAATAGATAAAGATCTTCTGATCTTGTTTTTAAAGACTGTCATGTCTTCAGTAGTGTTGATTGTCTTCTTTACTAGTTAAAAAATTGGAGTACTGTTTGGTTGGAAAAAAATGAGTTTATACATTTATTACAGGTCCATGAAATTACAGCTTTGCTGTCATTAGATCCCCCGGCTGTAATTGTAGCTGATAGATTCTGGGTAACCATGAAATCCGAAGCGGGTGATGAGTTTTATATCCACCACACTGTGACCCCATTGCCTAATTCCTGACAAGTTGAGCAAAGAGTTTTTCATTCATCTCACCTATAGGGGATGAGGAAAGGTCTGAATATAAACATCCCACCCAACCCCTAGTTATGTTACGTGACCTAAATATAATGCAGTATATGGCTGCCAGCAACAGGCGGTCTTTTGAGCAGCTTCAGTGAGGACACCGCGGTTTCAGGCACATTTGGGCTATTTTACGATGCTCATGTTTGCACAAGCAGCTCCTGACCTACATTCCCTCTGTCCCGACCAATCTCCAGCGATATTTTGGCTTTCAACAAACACAATCTGTACAGAGAAAGGAAACGTGATGGGGAGTAGGAGGGGCGGAAAGAGTCACGGTGAGCACCGCCCCATCCGCATGTGCCAGCTCCTCCATGCAAAGATCGTCTATGTCTGAGATCATAGCCACTCCTATTCCAAAGTCTGCACCAGATTCGGGTTTGAATGAGTGGGCGTTAGCCTGGCCTCAGTCGTCTGCTCATGCAGCTTAGCTCTGAGAAGTGGACAGGCACGTGGACAGGCTTTGACACAATCACCTCTCATTGTAGTGTCTTGTTATGTTTACTTAGTCAATGTGTTTTCTATTTTATTGTCGAGCTTAAATGTGTTCTTTTGCTAACTTTCCTTCCATGGGGTATTATGTCAGTAAATATTAGATATTAGATAGAATAAGAAACTATTTATTTTCTACTACAATGTGGTTAGTGTGTCAAACCTGTCGACTGGCCTTTAATGAAAGCAGCACATGCTCTATGCATGTATTACACATAAATACATGGCATGAAGAGGGAAAAGCAGCACAGAAAGATGTAGCTACTTTCCAATTTATTTAAGAGTATTTGTTCTAATTTCTTCTTTTCTTTTTCCCGCTGTGATCTGTTTACTGTGCTAATGTTAAATCCAACTGCTAGAAATCAATAAAGATAATAGTTATTATTTCTAAATTTTATGTGAAATACCCAGTCAACCACTAAGAAAATCTCCACTGTCTTGTCTTTTAAGCTGCTGTAACAAGTGAGTTCCCCCTGCCCACTCTTGCAGAGATCAATTACGAATATTAAATTTCCTGATAAACATACATCCATTATTGCTATGTACACCTTCAAATAACAAATAATAAAGTACAAATAAAGAATAGCTAAAATATTATATTAGTACACTTACTGATGGGGCATGTGCTAAATAGATTGTCTAAATGTTAGCAAACGACAAAAAAACTTTTTAACAAAGTGATGGGCAATATTTTTGTCTACTTTTCATTTTACAATTTTCATTTTACAAAAAAGAGCAATACGAATTATTGGTAGAAGTCAACACAGAGATCAAACTCATTATTTGTTAAATTGCAGTTGTTGAAATTCAGTGCGTTAGTAGATTTCAGTATGTTGCAGATTATGTATAAAGCTCATAGGAAAATTATACCACTAAACATCCAGAGCCGATTTGAAAAAAGAGAAAGTTGTTATAATTTAAAAGGATTTGAAATATTAAAAAAGATTCAGAACTAAACTGAAAGAGTGCTGTGTTACAGTGAGAGGAATAAGTTTGTAAAACAATCTGAACAAAGAAACTAAAGAAGCTAAATCAAATTTTATCTTCAAAGAAACTGTCAAAGCCAGTATGTTGAGTAAATACAGGGAAATATGTTAATCTAAGTCTTGGTATGTTTGTTTTGAGAAAAAATATGAATTAACGCAACCTTTTCTGTTCGTTTTGTGAGTTGTTTTTGAAAATAAGAAATAATGAACTGTAAAAAGGCATGTTGGCCTGCAGCTCTTTTTTTTATTATGGGTTTAGTTAATTAATATCTTCTGAAAGAGGGGCAGACTCTATAAGAGTTTTTTTCTTTCTTCTCTTTTTCAGTCACATGTTTGAGATTGTTCCTTGTTTGTATTGAATGTTTTAAATATTAACTAAATGAAATAAAGTATGAAAATGAAAAATGAAAAAAGTTAATAAATGCCTTAATTATCTGCCTTAAATCTGAATCCATATCCGTGGTTAATTAATTTGTCAGAAATTGTGAGAAAGAAGATAAGAGAAGCCAGAGGCAAGTTTATTCAGTATAAAAAAAAATCCATAAATATTATTTTACACCATCAAGACTTAACAGAATGGGTTTAATTAATAATGATTTATGTTGGAAGTGTGGGGCAGAAAGTGGCACATTTATTCATGCATTATGGGAATGTTCTAAGATCCTCCCCTTGTGGGAAAAAGTTATAGATTGTATGAGTAAATCATTAAATTACGAACTTCCCAGATCACCAAGAATATGACTCCTGGGAGACAAAACTATGGCACCCCTGTTGAATAAATACAGTTTTAGAATATTAGAAACTGGCCTAATAACATGTGCACAGACTATTCTGAGGTGTTGGAAGGAACCCCAACCCCCTACACGAAGTATGTGGAAAACACTGATGATGGAGACTGTAGCTTGTGAGAAGATGTTGGGGAGGTTAAATTGTAAATATGATATGATAAAAGAAAAATGGGATAGTTGCGGTAGACAGATGTAGAGCCGGCCCAAGGCATGAGCGAACTAAGCACCTGCTTAGGGCCCCACGTCCAGTAGGGGCCCCCCAAAAGCAATTAAAGGCAAATCAAAGGCAAACAAAAAAGTTTAAATATTTTTTATTTTTTGCATGTATGAGTGATGCTTTCTGTAAGATCAAATATATATTATTGTAAAAATAAAATAAAGCAAAATCATTTTAGTGCTGCTGCTGATGTAGGCCTATGATTCGTACTGCCGATGACACTTTTACAGTAAACACAATGCTTTATCACTTGGAATGTTGTGAAAATCAACCCCATGCCGCTCTTGTATTTGAATGTGTTACATTTTGATATTAAAAAACATATGTGGCACCCTGATCATTGTTCATCAGTCATTCATTGGTATTATTTGTATGGTTGCATTGGTATTATTTATGTTATTACCTAGGCTGCCCCTTAAAATGTGTAAATAAACGTCAGGCACATTAAATTTGTACTGTAGTAGGTGTGTGAATGATCAATAATCAATATATTGGTAGAAATAGAGGGCCCAAAAATCAAATTTTGCTTAGGGCCCCATTGAGGCTTGAGCCGGCTCTGTTGTAAGAAGATGTTGGGGAGGTTAAATTGTGAAAATGATATGATAAAAGAAAAATGGGAAAGTTTTGGTAGACAGATGTGTTAACTTCCTTGCCTTGCCAACCTACGTGCCTGTCTTATTTTTATTTCATTTTATTTATTTCCTTTTGTGTATTTATTTATTCTATTATTATTGCTATTTTTGACCTCCACTACATCTGTTTTGTTTGTTGTTTGTTTGTCTGTTGTAAAACTGAAAAAATAATAAACTTTACATTATAAAAAAAAGAAAAAAAAAGAAAAATGAAAACAGTTAATAAATGCCTGAATTATCTATGTCTTAAATCTAAATCCACATCCCTGTTTGATTAATTTGTCAGCAATTGTGAAAAAGAATAGGTCTAGTGGTGCTTGCACATCCCAACTTCAACTCAAAGGTAACTATTGATAATCACTCAGAGATGTTATTATCAATCGTGGCTTATCTCGCATGTGCTAAGCCTATTGTCACATGTTTCACCCATGAAAACTGGGGGCGGACACGGGAAAATGTGCTGGAGTGAGACCTCTTGCGCGCTCCCCCTTCTCTCGCTCTCTGTGTTATCGCCGAGCCCAGGCAGCTCATTAGCATAAAATGTGTGTCAGTAGGGCAGCGTGAGCTCACATGCCATGCGCACATGCTGTAGAGCTTTAACCAGCATTCCAATGTCGAACGAGCCCAATGTGCCGTCTCCACGCGGGGCTCTCGGCCAATGAAAAAGTGCGAAAACGTAAAAAAAAGAGTGGGGGCATGTAGAGAGGAGGTGGGTGAAATGTTTTCAGAGAGCGTGACAGAAAGAGGGAAGGAGGGGGGAGAGAAAAAAAGAGAGACATCCCTGATACACATCAACAAACAGGCGGTTTGACGGGACACAAAAAGAGAGCAGAAAAAAACTGGTCACATTTCTCAGGCACCTGAAAACGTGCTGGTTATTTTAAGACGCGTGTTGCTTATTGATGAGTGGGGAGTGTTTAAACTACTTCCACTCCGGTCATGTTTTAATAGTGACTGTACATGGCAAGCAGTTGAATGCTTGGGACCTCTGTCATCTAGAGAAGTCTTATTCAGTGATATCTTACCACACGCTTGGCATCATACGGTGCGCAGACGGAGAGCTGAGTTGTCCTGCATCTACTCACCCTGGAAGTTATTTGGATCAAACCTGAGATTTGCTCCAGTTTCCTCTAAATAATATTTGTTTTATTAGAATTTTTTTCTTCGCTGACTGGGTTTTCTAGAGACCCCCAATGCCCTGCGCACACTCCTGTTGGTCTGATTTTTTGGATAACCTCTCTATGCCTTGGCAGTTTACGACTCTTTCACCTATATCTACGAAACTCCTCGGTGGCAAGCAAAGGCAAACAGACCAGCATTAAGCGTCCACAATTTTAACAGCAGGAGCAACAGAACAACGATCGAATAGGAATCATGGAAAACAGCCCCGGTGGTGAGTAAAAATTTTAGCTGTACTAATGCTTTTACTGAACTATAACTTGAACTAAGATGCTAAAAAGAGATGGAGAAAATGTTGCATTAAGAGGAGGGATGCCATTGCACTGTTTGAATGAAATATTACGGCAATAGTTAGAATATTTACCTCCTTTTATAAGTTATTTAACACAAAAATTGACCTGTTCTTTTTAAGAGATATGACTGTTTCACTTGTTTCAATGCATGCCATTTATGATCATGTATGTCACCTGCAAGCACACAGAAAAAGCACATTTTTGATCGCATATCATTTGAATATCTTCAGAGCTTTGTGCCTAAAGCTGTTTCACTTTTTCAACACAATATGCAGCTTTTTCGTCCCCGGCTTAGACCTCATCTATAATTTAGGAGAGAAAATTGCATGCTTTAAGTGTAACTCAGCGTTGTAACATATGGCAGGTTGCCAAGTGCTTCTGGGCTGCAGACAGGAGAGAGTTTGGAGTGAGGGAGCTGAGCAGAGCGAGAGAGAGAGAGGGAAGTCCTCTCTCGTCAATCTTTGTGGTGGACTTCCGATTCTCTGCATGTAAACAAACTCACGCGCAACCCCAAACGCCCCCTGACCGTGTACGTACAGTCGAAGGACAGTCCACTATCCCACTTAGGTTTACCGTCGTTCTGCGTTATAAGTTAAGTTGAAGTTTAGAGGCAGCTATCAGAGTTCGCTTGAATTGTTGCTGCCTCGGGCACGTACCGGATGTTGTATTTTTGGTTTCTGTGAGTCATTACACTCGGTTTGTTTCTAACATCTCTGGCAAAGGCGCAGCTTTTTTCCTCAAACACATGTGAGTGTGTCAAAGAGCAGTCACGCCCACTGGGCCAAAACAAGTCACCGGTGCCAAGTTTCCTCTCCCATGTACTGGTCATGACCGGAAGAAACCGTTCTGTGAGTGAGGACCAGTTACCATAACCCGAACTGGACATTATAACCTCTTAAAAAAAGTCGACCCATTTATCGCTCAGTAATGAATTTGACACCGAAGTTTATGGGTATGACATTCGATACATGACATTAGACACTTCACATAAATGCTAAACCAGACATAGGTTACTAGCTTTATCACAGCCTCATACTGGCATAGTTGAAAATAGGTCGAGAGGGCATTCGCAGTTGAAAACCATATATCACAGCAAGACCCTGCGATCTAACTCTCATACGCTATAATGTAAACAGGCCACCACTATTTACCAAATATTTCTGATAACCTATCTCCTAAGTCGTCATGTCGTGTTCCTTAGGTGAATGTTTATACAAAGGACATAAGACATTAAACGACCTTGAACCGAAAAGGCTGTTTAGACTGTCATGTCTTTTCATCTGCTTCCCGCCCAGTGCACCCTGGGTAGTAACCGTCGTGATGATATTCAGAATCATGCGCCGGATTTTTAATACGCAGTTACCCCGCCTCGAGCTGACAACACGTGTATACAGCCTCAGTATCCACGTGCCTCGCCTGATTCCTAAGCAGCCCGCCCCTCTCGTTCGCTCCCCTCCACCGCGTGCTCTCAGCTCGAGCTCAGCTCGCACGGGGATTCCTCTTTATTTGCGGATTGCTTGGTCAGTGGGTCAGAGGGGTTTAGCAGTGTTTTCTGTATTTCTGGTTACTATAACTGGTTTGTAATGTTCACACGTGAAATCTGTGGGCCATATTAAACGTTTTATATTTCTGTTTGGCGTGTGAAAGACTTATTAACCTACATTTGGCTGCTTTAACCTGGTTCTTTTTAGGGGAGGGGGGACATGACTAACCAGTTCCTGTTGTCATCGTGCTCACATGCCACCGTTATTTTACTGGTACAGTTCCAGCAAAAACATGTTTACTGCCACATTGAGCCAATATTTTACAGGCGTTTACTCAAGTCTATAAATTAATTTTAAAATCAACTTGTGATTTTTAACAGATTACCTAAATTCAACATGAATGCGTTATGGTGATTTGAATTGTTAATTGTATTTGCAATTTTTATTTTGACTTATAGGGGAACTATTCTGCAGGACTGTGGAAGAAATAACTCATGATTATTATGCCTTTCACCCTTGTTGATGGTTTTGGGGAAACTATCTGTAACTTAGTCCTAAGCAACAAGTCAAAGTCTTGGGATGTATCTTGAAAAAAGCCATTAAAGAACAATTTCAAAGAGGCTTCCAAGTATTAAAAATTACAGAATCTCTGGCATTATCAGCACACCTTTTACTGGTTTACAGTTAAGTACAGGGCTTCTTCTCAGTTTTGTGTACTTGCTTTTTTAGTTAGAAGCAACTAATAGAAAAGTGCAATTGGAATTATTTTAATGGCGAGGACTAAATTAAGACAAGAAACAAAGTAGCCTCCAGTGGATGGGGAACTGACCTTGTGACCCAAAGTTATAATGATGGACCAACCAGAAAAAGCTATCATAAGGAAAAAATAGACAGTCAAATGACTTTCTTTGGGCCTTAAATGGTATAATTTATAGCATTTATAAAGGTATAAAAGTGATCAATATGTTAAAGTGGATCAATGTGTCACGTGTCTTTCTTGCCAACCTAACAATAAGCTCAATGTTTAGCTCTGATGGCAATCCTGAAACCAGATTCCCTGCGGTTGTCAGCGTGACAGACGATCACACATCAAGCTAATTCATATTAAAGCGACTGTTGGTTCAGTGACAGATAATGTTTCTATCCAGGAATCGAGTATAACCTTCTGGTCTGTCATGTTGGTCTGCATTTACTCACACACTTGCATAAAAACAGCTGTGAAAATTCAAAACACTTTAAAGTCCAAAGTGGAACAGCATACAAGGGAATCATTAATACTGAGCAATAAAATATTGTAAGCTCATGTGACAAAAAGCATAATTTGCTCTGTTGTCTTCAGAGAACAGTCCCCCTTTAAAGCTCGCCAGAACATAGACACATGACATGCAGGCCAGATGTTTCACGTGTAGTGAGGCTTACTGCCCATGCACAGTTGTATATGTTCACATGAGAGAGTACAGACTAGCCAGAGTTCAGAGGGGTGTCTCCGCCCCAGACGTTATAGGAACATGTTGTCTATAGTTTTCCTTCCATGTATGCATGCCCACACACGAGAGAGGGGAAGTCATAGGAGGGGCAGTTGAGCGTTTTGTTTATGCTGAAGCTCTTATGGCCCTGTGTGTTTTCACAGGTCACATGTTGTAGCCTGTGCAGGGGATGATATTCCCAGAGCTCATTCTGGCACCCAGTCAAACCAGATTCCAGGAAATGCTTACAAGGAGAAAGAATATGGAATGTTTTCATACTAGTGGGGTGGAGAATGTGAATGTGGAAGTTGGGTGTGGAGTTCATGTGACAGTCGGGTGTGACTCACTCTTCTGCAGGTGATACACATGTCTAATAAAGCTTTATCTTCCTCCCACAACCGCAGACAAAAAAGAAAAAAACTTGCACATGCAACATTTGTGTGTAAGGTTAAGTCAGTGACACCGGAGCTGCCACCACACACAGCCCATTAGGCTCAGCGTACCTAGCATTCAATATTGACACGTGTGAGCAGTGGACTTAAGGAGGCACTTAGAGCTACACAGAAATACAGCACGTGTTTTCTCAAAGAGAGAAAGCACAAGAGCTGAGGGAGGCTTTTTCTCCAATGAGTCAAGGTCCTTGAGAGGAAATGTGCACAGAATGACAGAATAAGAAGTCCAAGGGTATTGTTAAAGATAACCCTGCCACAACTGTTAGACAAAATCATTTACTTTACTCGCAGCTGCAGCTGTGTAACCAAGGCTGTCTTCTCAATGAAAATAGATGTAGCTGCCCTTAAGTAACCCAAAAGGTTCAATCGTGATGATCATATGAGCGTTAAACATGAAGGAAGATTGTGATGCGTGTAATTTCTACACAGCACAACACTTTGGTTGGCAGGCTGTCATGCTCCAGTACTTGAGATACCTGACACAGTGACTTAAAAGCAAATAAAGGAGGGCAAACTTTGGAGTGATGAGGGAAACCTAAAGGAGCAGAAATGTGTGATTTTTGTTTTAATTTTACAGTGACTGTATGCAGTAGCAGAATTGTGTCATCTTCGGTTTCACTTAGTTTTGGTAGTTTGTCATTTTCTGATATTAATATCTCAAATTGCTCACAATGAATAGCAAAATATGTCGAAATATTGGCCTAGAAAAACAAAACTGTAACCCTCTGCACAGTTTCTCATAGGGATCGCAGAGACCTAATGTAACTCTGCCCTGCTTCCTTTCCTCTGCATATGTAGTCACAGCATTAAAGCAGCTCTCTATTCCAAACGTGATCAGCCCCAGCACTTGTTATTGTACTGCTGCTGTTGTCTACACGGGACTGCGCAAAGAGCCTTGTGAGCCGGGCGGGAACTGTGTCAAGAGTCCATGTGAGCTCCCGGTCAGGTGGCTGGCGGATAGATGGGTCTGCAGGCCTGCAGCCAGAGAGGGGAGGTGGGGAGGGAGGGAGAGAGGCGGAGGTAGGAGGGGAGGCGGATACAGAAGAAGGGGAGGAGGGAGAGGAGGAAAGACTTAATGCTGAAAGCAGGCAGGCAGGCAGGCAGCTGGCTGGCTCAGCCTGCACGTGAGGGGCAGCCCTTCGTATTGAAAGGGAAGAATACTGTCTTGAAAACAAGGTGGTGGTGTGTGCATGTGTGTGTGGGAAGGGGGGGGGGGGGGGTAATAGGGCATTTCCGACATGATGTGACAGCCAAAACAAAGGCTTGTTTATATCCCACTATAGCACAAAATGTGAATGAGTTACTGTTATTTATTACTAACATTTTATAGGATACCATATAGATTTGCCGTTTTGTTACTTCAGAGGTACTTGTAAAATTGAAAGGTTAATGTGACAGACACTGAATTTGGGCAGTGTACCATAGCAGTTTATAAGATTTAAACAATCCTGGGTGTGGATGGTGGCTGATTCACGCAATAGATACAGTTTGTTTGTCTCCCCCTCGTCTTTGTGTATTTAGACTTTTTTTTTTTTATTCAAGTAGCACTCTTTAACTGGCAACCAGCCTACTGGCACACAACGCTTTTCTACAGATATCCAGGTCAGAGCTTTTGTTTCTTAGCTGACTTTTTTTTCAATTATTCATCAGATCAAATATCTGTTGTCCAAACATGATCGGGGCTATGCGTACGTGTGTGTCGAAGACTGCCAACTAGGCTCACTGAATCAAAGTGGAGCATTGCTCAACACTTGTACTCCCACTCACATATGAACACTGACCTAGATGAAGATGGGTGAACTGAGTTCTTGCCCTGTCTCTGTTCCTCCAGGTGGTGTTATCTTGTACGCTGGCTCATCCGGCAGTGCTAGCCCGAGCCCTGGCAGCCCTTCAAGTGGATACCAGACCCAGTCGCCCTCCTCCCATTCGCAGCCTTCATCACCAGAGGGCGCCTCCTTTCAGGAGATTGGAACCCCGAAGCAGAGGGGGGAACAAGGAGGGGGCACAACTTCCCCAAGAATGGTCTTCCAGTTTCCTGAAGTAAACAATGCTCCAGTTGCCCAAATAACCACAGTATCATCTGCTACCTACAACCATCCCACGGTGGCCAAAAGACCTTGTGGTTTCACTGGCACATTCACCAGTAAGTACCCCTCACTTTATTTTCTGCTCTGTGTTTACCTGCAGGCCATTTTTTTTTATACTTCCTTTCTGATATTGGATTTGTGCCTCATTCATAGAAACCGGAGGTATGGTGCTTCTGTGTAAGGTGTGTGGAGACATCGCATCAGGGTTCCATTACGGTGTGCACGCCTGCGAAGGCTGCAAGGTAAGCTCGAACGAAGATAATCTTATGTCATGTCTTTGTATGCAGAAGGTTAAAGCACTTACACACTGACAAAAAGACAGATTTCAACCTCTTTGTCCTTTTGTGCTCTTTCTAGGGTTTCTTTAGACGCAGCATCCAGCAGAATATCCACTACAAGATGTGTGTGAAGAATGAGAAGTGTCATATTATGCGCATGAACCGAAACCGTTGCCAACACTGCCGCTTCAAGAAGTGTTTGTCTGTCGGCATGTCAAGAGATGGTGAGAAACATATTATATCTTTGAGTCTTTAAGAATTTTTCACATACTGCACCTAGGACTCGTTGTTTTCTTTGAAAGCATTGAAGAAGGGGCTCAGTCTTAACAAGAATACAGGACTGAATATGATGTTTCAGGTTAAATTCCAATACCTGTTCAAGGTTTTGCTCTCATACCTCCTAGAATTTCTCTCTTTTTTCATTTGTTATTCCCTCATGTCCTCCTCTCTACATGCCCTGCTCTCTGATTTATGGCAAGAGAAGCTTTAGAGTCCCTGCAGTCATCAGTCACAGAAAAATGGTGACAAATATAGTTTATTTTGGGAAATTGGGGCACAGAGTTGTTGATTACCCCATGTGCTCCCTAGAATGCAAAGTTTTATCCTCTCTTTTTCCTACGTCCTGACATTTAGAAACAATAATGTAATTCCATCATGTCAATCGCTAATACCTACAGAGCAGGAGTTGAAATTAAAATGTTCATAACATAGTTAATCTTCCTCCTCACATTAGTTCGCCACAGGACTCCTATCTATAGGGATGTGAAGAACTAGGTGATAATAAATCATGGTTTTCTGGAGCAAACATTTTTAGCCGACCCAAAAAAGCCAAAATACGGCGCTGAAAAATCACCCCCTAACTTATCTGGTCACAGGGTGCCAATGGCATGTTTTTATGTTTTAATTATCTGTCGGGTGAAAAAACTGAGAGTAAAAAAAGGAAATATTCTACCTAAGCCAGTGCTTACCTGAACCTAGTACTTTTATAGATCCACCAAGCCACTTTTAATTTTCACATCACGTCTTTGACATGACAACATGATCCCTGCGCGCAGATTAGTTTTTGATCACCCAGTATGTTTTTCTTCTCCCTACATCTCCGTCTATTATTTTTGACCTTTCCACTTCACACTCTGTTACTTTGCTAATGACATCATGTTCAGCTCTGTCGACCCAGTGACCTACTTCCACTGAAAAAAAAAAAAAGAGCCAGCGCTCAACGTCAAGACAGAAAGGGAAAGAGAGAGGGAGTGTGCGACTGGGGGAGGTGGTGTAGCATACAGCGGGCTATAAATAGGGCTGTCAGTGGAGGTGCAGTATTGAAAAGGGGGAAGGGAGGTTTGTAAAGGCTGGAGAGAAGGAGGATGAGGACATCGGATGAAGTGAAGGCTTAAATGTCTGAATTGGGGTGAAACAGCTGTGATGGATAGAGAATAGTCACAGGCTGTGTAGAGGTCTCTGGATTAGTAATCCTATAGATTATAGTTTGAGTGTCATCAGCAGTACCCATATTAAAACAAGAGGTGGTGTTTCTATGTACAGCTGCCATTAAAAATCTGGCTGCAATATCAAAGCTCTGTGCAAGTAATTACTGACAGAAGATGCTCTCTTCCATTTGTCCTTAGCTGTGCGTTTTGGGCGTATTCCCAAACGGGAGAAGCAGAGGCTACTGGATGAGATGCAGAGCTACATGAACAGCCTCAACGAATCAGCTTCCATGGAAATGGAGGTATCGTCTCCTCCAGATGCTCCTTGCAGTCCACAAAACCCAGCAAATGAAGGAGCAGGCTCCATATCGCAGTCTTACCGCAGCAACATAATTAGCTGTGACGAGAAGCCCCCTAAGATTGCTATTGGCAACAACAGCAATTTGTGCACTTCCTCCTTCCAAAACAGTCCAGTGCAAGAAGCTTCCCTGTCACACGCAGCAACCCAGTCTCGGCACGCAGCTCAGGCAGAGCAGGCGAATGTCACATCAAGCTACCATGTCTCCACAACCTGCCCTGTAGCCCCCAACAACAACAACAACAACAACATTGAAAACTCCACTGACACCAATGTCGACAACGCCAAGTACACCTTCTCATCCAATCAGAATCAGTGCCCTTTCAGTGGCAGTCAGTCATCTCAGGCCTACTCAGCCAACCACAGCAGCTACACAACCAGAGATTTGCAGAACCAAAGTCCCTGCCCCTGGAAGCTCAACGGAGGAGCAAAAGTGCTGGTAAGACCTCAAGACCTTTTTCAGGAATCTAAACACATATCAACATCAGTGAAAAGTTTGTAACTCTTCCTGTTTTCTCCTCTCAAGGCCTGTCCCCTCAATTCCTGCCCAGTGGCCCCTGCCAGCCGCTCCAGTCAAGAGGTGTGGGAGTCTTTCTCCCAGTGTTTCACCCCTGCTGTTAAAGAAGTAGTGGAGTTTGCAAAAAGCATCCCAGGCTTCCAGTCTCTCAGCCAGCATGATCAGGTCATGCTGCTCAAATCCGGCACTTTCCAGGTACATGTGGTTAAACTGTTGGTGGGAAGTAGTGGGAGTTTTTTTTTCTATTTGTCAAATCTTTTTTTTTTCTTTTTGATGCTGACTTAGTCTGGTTGTGTCCACAGGTTCTGATGGTGAGGTTCTGCTCGCTGTTTGATCCCAAGGAGAGGACAGTGACCTTCCTCAATGGGCAGACCTACTCCCTGGCATCACTGAGGGCTCTTGGTATGGGCTCCCTTCTTGACGCCATGTTTGAATTCAGCGAGAAGCTGGGCTCTATGGGGTTGGAGCCAGATGAGATGGCCCTTTTCATGGCTGTTGTGCTTGTTTCAGCAGGTAACAATCTGAACAGTGCATGCACGCAAACCCAAATTGTAAATACACTGCTTGTCTGACCTGAATTTCTCCTTCCTCTCTCCAGATCGCTCTGGCATAGTTGAGGTGGGAGCAGTAGAGCAACTGCAGGAGAACCTCATAAAAGCCCTGCGCTCTCTTATCACCAGTCGCCGCCCAGAGGACAGCACTCTCTTCCCAAAGCTGCTACTACGTCTGCCAGACTTACGCACCTTGAACAACCACCACTCTGACAAGCTTTTAGCGTTCCGCATAGATCCTTGAGCTCTAAAAACTAAAGCCAACTGAGATATCGGCTTTGGAGGAACTCCCCTGCTCCCTATGCAAGCCTGGCTTGCCACATACAGCACACTGGCCTATGCATGATAGACAGTTGTTGTGGGAGCTGTGCCGAGTCCAATGCTGTGAGGGAGCAAACTTGGAAAAGAAATCAGTGAAGGAAGTAGGCACAGCAGGAGGTGGAGGCACCTGAACTCAAACTGATTCCTCCTCTAGTTGTTGTCAGGTTTGCCGAACAACAAACCTTTTCTGTGTTCTTCCTCAAGTTTTTTAAGTCCAATGAGACCATCTAGCCATCACCTTTCACTCCTGGGGTCTGCCAGAGTTGTCAGCTTTTGTCCTCAAGACCAAAAAGAAGAAAAAGCGTGCTGTCCCTCACAAGACTTTCATCGTCCTCTCACAGCTTACAAAGCTAACAAGAGGGAAGCACATACTTCTGCCCAGAGAAACAGAGACATGTTTGTTTATTCACCAACTATGATTTATAAAAAATGAATTTATTCTACATTGTGTAAAGGGCACTTTCCATTCATTAAAAACACCTCTTAAATCAATATTTTACATAGCAATAGAAATATCTGATAAGCAGTTGGAAGGACAGTTTGTTAAAATGTTCCCTGTTTAAATGGAATAAGCTATTTTCTCAATATGTCACCATGTGAGAAATGTCTATGAAAATCATCCGTGATTGACAAGTGTGTAACATTTTTAAGAAATGAACGTTATCTGCATCATCTTTGTATGCGGTAATCAGGGAGAAATTATTGGTCATTTTAGACCACTATGAGGGGTATATGTTAAAGTGTTTTGTTGTATATTTTGTATATAACATTTATTCTTGGTTCTTGATAGTTTGCAGATTATTGGATATGTAAATGAAGTTAGTGTTGAGTTACTGTATGTTATGAATTATAGATTGCTATAAAGAAAGCAGCATTTGAATGGTGCGCTCAGAGTATAAACTTTTTATTTGAAGATATATAATTGAAATAAATGTATTGTCAACTGACTGCATCACCTTGTGAATATTTTGTAAATGTTTTATGGTGACACAATAGAGTATCATTATTAAAATAACAGTATACAGCACTTACTTTCTTGTGCATATTTTTTCACTTTTCTCCTAAATGTGATACTACCAACATCATTGTCAAGACGGCATACTATGGAGCCGTAGCCTAGCAACAGAAGCAATGAGCCAATCATGCTCCAGGGCTGAGAGCCATTGGGGGCTTCATTACCGACAAGGAACACCACTTGGTTTTCGAGTGTGTAATAAGCAAATGAAAATTTGAAGAGCATAAAAGGATATGGTAATGTTATTTACCACCCCTTTATCAGAGTTAAAATGTAGTTGGTAGGAGGGAGACCGCAACTGAGATAAAGTGTGTTTGTTTGAATATAATGCACAAATCGTATCAGCAGAAACACACGTAGACTGGAGGTTATTTCAGGACATGGTATGGAAATGCTCTGCAGTATGATAGTGAGCATGTCACACCACAGGAAGGGCTGGGATGTTGAGCTTAAGGTTTGGGTACATTTTCCATAAACAGCTCCGTCTACTTATCGTGTTTATGATTTGTACACGTGATATACCTTAATTACTGCCATTTGCAAAAAGCGGTGGTATGAATTGACAGCTTTCCATCCATTTAAAATTGAAATATTAAGGAGAAACTCCTCATAGGTTTGACAGGAGATGCATATATTTACAGTTCCTATGCAATAATTTAGAAATTCGCTCAAAGCAGTAAATTGCCTTCACATCTGGCAATTGGGTCCAGGCAACAGCATGCATTCCTCTGGGTATAAGGAAATGGAAATAAGAAAAAACTAAAGGTTGTCCCCTTCCCACCCTTCTTTGAAACTCTGCCAACTAATGTTATTAATGCAGTGATAGAACAAAAATCTCTACTGCAACTGAGACACAACTGGTGTTCTAGTCATTTTTATGAAACATATAGAGAGCTTCACATGCCATCTGCTGGACAAAACTTAAGTTAGACCAGCTATTTTTGGCTGAGGCATAATAATATGTTAGAGTAGACAGAGAGGCATGGACTATGTCTGAATACATTTTTGGTCTTTTTTTAAAACTGATGACACCAACATTGAATGAAATACAACACAGCCCTTAACAGAGGCACCACAGTGATACCAACTTGTCCTCATGCAATGGCACATAAACCTCCCTGCATATATCCAAGGCAAGGACCTGAATTCAGATGTTTATCATAACCATCTAAATAGATAGTAGAGCAAACACCCAGACAGCCCATATGTTAAATAGCAGGTCTAAAGCTTTGGATTGTAGCATATCAATTTAACAAGCAGACAAGTGTTTTGAAGTCAAGAAAAGAGGGTAACATTAGACATGAGATAAAATGCCGGAGAAGAGGAATAAGGTTGAAATTTAAAGGGGGCTTATATGTTATCACAAAACATCATCTCACTCTCTGTCCAGTATCAGAAGTCAAAGAGACTTAGTGTATGTTGCTGGTCTCGTCCTTGTGCTTCAATAAAGGTATGCCTGCCTCCATAGTCAGAGAGGCAAAGAATACAGGTATCTGATAATGGAAATCAAAAATGCCTGTGTACGTGCCTGGTGTCAGTTTTCTTTGCATGTACTAAAAGCGTATTTCTTATTTCCTGATGCCACCTAGTGGCCATATGCTTGAAGCACACCTCCGTGTTCAGGAGGAACACTGAGTGAACTTTTACTGTGAAATAAAAGTATCCAGGATTCAAGGGCAGTATCAATTTAACCTCGGCTTTATCTAATTGTCTTGTTTATGTACTTACATAGAGCATAAGCAGAATTGGAGTGAAAACGTGTATTTAAAGTATTTAATAACTCCTTACCATAGACTGAATATAGAATAGACGCCATCTGCTTTCTTGCTGAAGCCACTCCGAGAACAGCACACTCTGGTGACTGGCTGCTGTATAGGTCATAAATCCGCCTCCAGCCATCCTTATGGAGCTGTGGACAATTTTTTAGAAATGTATTACACAGAATATTAAGTTTTCTCCCCCCCTGCTTGTGATGTTGACATGTAGTTCTTGTAAGACTGGTTTATGCTCAAGTCCTCTTTTTCTTTGCAGCTCTATTTTTAAAAGTAATAAGGGGGTTCGTGTTTTCTTCGATTGACACTTGATTCAGCCAATGGGCGTACAAGGATCGCGTAGCTCATCCAGGGATACGCTGTTTGAGCCGAGCGTCAACACAGCGTCTCTCGGCGACTCTCCCCCAAATGCTGTTCTCCGGCTCAGACATCTGAGTTCCGAGGTAACTCGAACGCAGTATTAGTCACAGATAGGCTATCTGCTAATTAGGGTTGTATAGCTTAATTATAAATATTGCCTCACTAAAAATAAAAAAGGTTGAGCCCCAGACTTCTTTCATGTCTTGTTGGCTCTGTAAACTGCAATGAAATTACAAAATAACTAAATTAACTGACCCGCTACCTGTTCTCACAGGCAGTGGCGGTTCTAGACTAAGTTACTACCCGGGCGAGACCCTCTCCGTCATTGTTTACTTTCCTCATGAAGCACGTAGCAAGATCCGAGCATGAATCCGATCACTTTATTAGCCTATCAGAGGCAGACGGGTATGATGATTTGATTTGCCACGACTCCAGAAATGATCAAAAAACTACAGAATGTCACAAAATGACGTATCCACGCTCCCGGCTGAAGGCTAGAAATGTGCAACCTTGCTCCTGGCTTGGAATGTTGAAATGTGTACATACTGTCCCGGTTTAAATGGGTTAAGTGATTGATGCCGATGACGCCAAGGCCAGATTTATTATTATTATTGTCTTTTTTAAATTTTTTTTTGGAAGTGCTCGTGCCGCCCCCCATGAGTCATGACGCAAATGCCGCCCCGGGCGGCTGCCGGGTTCGCCCGTGCCTAGAACCGCTACTGCTCACGGGGTAACGACAATAGAGGCCTACTCTACGAAGCAGGATTACTGCTTAGCGAGGTAACTTCGAGGGTAAGTTCGGGGTTTCCTGTTCTACGACGCGGGTTCACTTCTTAGCGAGGCGAGTCTCCATGGCAACATACGCTGAACTCAAATCAACTCGTCTGTCCTTTGACCCAGAAAGACACGAACCGTGGCGTGACAGTCGGTGACAATGTATTGCCCATACTGTGGCAAAGAGCTCCCGGGACAACCCAACTTTTGCAGCAGTTGTGGGAAAAGGCTGCAAGAAGCAGACGGTGACAGTCAATCAAGTAAGTTAAGGGATGTTCAATTAATGTGTTCTGCTACTTTTGCTTTCGGTATCCATGTTTGTGTTTATTTTCCCGTTCCGACATCCAGCAGGTGGCAGTAGTACTCCACCCCCAGCGGAGTAAACTGCCATTGAACTACAACGAAGAAGAAGAAAGACAGACGATGCTGTCGTGTTTTGCGGTTGCGCTTTCTTTTTTTGCGTTTGCATTTATGATTTGCTGTCGTGCTTTCTTTTTTGCGTTTGCATATGTGATTTGCTGTCGTGTTTTATGATCTGCAGTTGCGTTTTGTGATTTGTGGTTGCGTTTTCTCTTTTTCGTCTGCGTTTTGATTTGCTGTCGTGTTTTCTCTTTTGCAGTTGTGTTTTGCACTTCCAGGCCACCGTAAAAGTTGGATCCACTTACAAGGCTGTTAACCAGCGTTGTAAGACCATTTAGGAAGACCGCCTGCTACCGCGCTAAGTTGAGCGAGGTAACTCGAAGGCTACCTCGCTAGGTTGAACTTGCTTCGCAGAATAGGCCCCAGGTAGCTTGAATAGTTATCTCACGATCCGGAAGCAACCCGAAGTTACTTGTTGTCACAGTAAAGATATAATGCCACTTTCAATGCTCTCAATAAAGGGCTTTAATACATTTAGGGGAAAAAAAACAGGGTCTGTAAATGTTAAAAAGTTCTGCACTGCGCTGATACCCTGCTCAATTTAAGTGCATCTCTACTAAGAGCAATCTTGCCAGCCAAACGGCTTTTGGATAAATACTTGAGAATGAAGCTGTCCAAGAGGTTTCCACCATCTGCTGTTCAAAGAGGATGATTCAGCACCCATGCCCATGGACATTAATGGGTAAGTGGATTAACCTTTTGCACCAAGTTAGTGACTTGACTATGAGTTGGTGATTGTTTACCGGTGCAATTGGATAGCAACTAGGTAGATAACCTGTACTTTTGCCAAAACTTTCTGCAGGCGTTAAAGACAGGCGTTTGTTGTAAAGACAAAGGCATTATCAACCAAAAGCTGTCATTCAGAGAGAAACCTCACTTTTTATAAAATCGCTGTGACTTTATTTGTGCAGCTGTTGAAAGCGTTTCTGTTTGATTGACTACACCTGAACTGTTGATGATAGCACATGTCGTCTGAACTGATAGACTGAGTATTTTCAACAAATACATCAAATTCCCTCCCTTAGAGAAAATAAACATTTCCCATGACAACAATTACATTTCTAAAAGGGAACTCTTCATCAATATTGTCTGTGGGTATGGAAAAAATGTTCAAGAGTCCCTCATTAGAACCAGGTAACCTGTTACACAAGCTTTTAAGTAGAATTGAAGTTACGTTTGATAAAAACAGTGAAGTTGGTCAGAATAGAAATAGGAAGCATCACAGCAGGACACAGCAGATTTATTTTCTGCTGTGGTTTCCGACTATTTTTCCTTGGCTCTACATTTATTTAGGAAAAGCTGAGCTCCTCCTCCAGGACCCTAACAGAAAAAAGTGATACATTGCTGTTGAAAATACACATATATATTTTTAACTGAAAGAAATAAAGACAGTGCATTTATCAAATCTAGTTTTATCTACAGACAGTTGTATACGCAAATCAACAAGTCAGTTTAGTTAATATTTGCAAATCTAATTTTGACAACCTCAGAGAAAACAAAGCCTTGTTTCCCCTTGAAATCTCTGGCGCCCTCTAATGGCAACTGGATCCCAGGTTAGGAACCAGCAGTCTAGAGCCCCAGAAAGTGGCCCGCAAGGAGGGCAGCCCTCAAAAACGACTATATCTTTAAAGCCAGAACAAGAGTTGGTTTGAGCTGTTAAGGTAGCTGTAGTAGTGTGTGCTGAGACAATCCACATTCACATATTTCTCTTTAATAATCAGAGGTGCCAGTTATGTTAGCACCAAACTTTTGCTTTTTTATATGTAACATGGAAGAAGAGCATCAATTTTGGGGGGCATTAGCTGAACATGCTGCATAATGACCTTACAATGATAATGACAAGGAACAGCCTTAACGATTCAGTCAGTAGTTTTGCTTTGTATCATCATTTTAAGCTTTATATTGATCCCAAAACAATTCAACATAGTATATCAGATTTCTTTGATAACGTGATACGTGTAGTTGCTCTCTTGGCCTGACAGAGAAAGCTTGAATAAATATTTGTAAAAGTAGATCAAAGGTGGGCTCTCTCAGTTAATCTTATTATTTAAGGTAGTGTGTACCCCATAACGTTCTTAACTTCAATCTCATTAGTCTGACTTACCTGTTACTAAAACTGTCTCTGGCACAAAAACATGATGTCATCTATTCTCTAGATAACTATAGTGTAGCTACAAATAGATGACCCCATGTTGCTTTTTTTTAAGTGTTACGACATATTATAATGCAGACAGAGGCTCAAAAAGGCAAATATTGGTTAATATTTTTGACTTGACAGAGGCTAAAATAATGCATCATAGGCTCATTTGTTGTTGTGCTGTCAGGAAAGATGTTGGTGTAAATAACCAAAAGTAAAGGCACTGATTCAGTGGTTAAAGTTTGATCAAAATTTAAAATAATCCAACATCAATAAGATTACTGATGATAGGGTAACTCTTACATGCCCGTGCCCCTCTTCTTTACCCAAAAGTGGAGCAAAATACTTGTGTAATGCATATGTAATTCAGATATGTAAGTGCTTTCAGTCATTCTGGAGAGTACTAGGATGATTAACTAACCTCAAACACAGTTGACAGGGTTTGTGCTGGTAGAGAGAGAGTCATAAATGACACCCCTGTCCAGCAACAGTAGTGGTACAGTCAAGCTTCATCTCAGTGTTGTGGGCTACCTGGAATTTGCTAGAATGTCCTAGTTGGACCTATAATAGGGGTGGCCTGGGATCAGGGTTAGAGAGAGATTAACCACATGGAGGCCTTTAAAGCCTCTGCGTAATCCGCATGGGGGAGATAAATTCAGAGCAACAAATGCTCTTGAGACAACATTTGTGCTCACAGTGTTTCCCACCACTTGAACCCGAAAAGAGGAGCTGTATTTCTTTTCTGGACAGACACTGGATTTACAGGACTACCTTCGAAAAAGACAGACTTGACCTGTGTTTTAAGAAGCATATTTATCATCAACAACACAAAAAAAGCATAAAGGGACAACCATGAAAAAGGGAAAGGTAAGTTTTTTACTTTCCGCCTAAAATGGTCAGCAACATTCAATGTCACTTATTATATATGCTATATTTTTATGGTGAATTACAACAGACTCAAGACAGGAACCAAATAATAGAGTAAAGATAAAATAATCTTAGGTTTTGTGTATTTTAATGAGAGTGTGGAAGTTTATTTGTAATATGAAACTTGGTCTATTTGTATTTATTCATACAGAATTATGAAAAAATGGAGGCCCATCACATCTTTCTTAATCCTCTGATAAAGGCAGATTTGTAGATACATCTGTCTAGGAAACTAGTGCAGGCAGTTTTTACAGCAATAAATACAATTTTCTTTTGTAAAAGTAAACATTATGTGTTTTGCAAATTTTTACATGACATTTATGTTTTAAGAAAATGATTAAAAAATTGTAATGACCCTACTAATTGTACTTTTATCCCAGCAGGTGACTAATGACAATGAGCCACCTACTTATCAGGAGGCAACAGCAGGTAAGTGACTAATCTCATTGGGTTGACGTATTTAATTACCTATTCCTGCAAAAAACACTGGCTAATTTTCTTAAAGGTCTGCTATTAAAAAGGGGGATCAATCAATCACACTTTTTAATTCTTGTTCAAAAGCACTGAGTGAAAAATAAAGTGTTTCTCATCCAACAACATTCAGGGAAGTAATTCTATGTTATCATAATGTGCCTTAAGGGAGGTTTAAAAGTTGTAACTGGACATCACACATGCCCTAAAAGTACCTAACTATTGAACAAAGACATGTTGATGCCACTCAAACCTGACTCACCTCATTTCACAGTAAAATGCTGCAGGTTCTTTGTAAGATATAATCACATATGTTTTCTTCGCATCGCAGGCTATGGTGAGATGGAAGCCCAGTTTGCCTGGGATGACAAGTCCATCAGGCGGACCTTCATTAGGAAGGTAAGATAGATCTGATGTTGAACTGAGGTATTAACACACAAAAACACCATCACAGTGACATCTCCTTTTATCTCACAATGTGTATGTCTTTCTGTAGGTCTATGCCATTCTCCTGGTCCAGCTGCTTGTGACAGTGGGAATCGTGGCTTTATTTTCATTTTGGTAAGTGTAATCTTGTTTTTTGGTTCACAACTATCACCTTTTATAAGTTAAATGTTTGTCACATGACTGGAATATAATATTTTTTCCACTCTACAGTGCACCTGTGAGGTTTTACATCCAGACTCATCCTGGCTTATACATGGCATCTTAGTAAGTGTAACCACATAGAAACATCCAACACAGTTTCATCTTTCTATGTTACTGTTAATTTATTAAAACTATAACAAATGTCTTCTTTTTTTGTTGTTGTCTTCAGTTTAATGTTCTTTTCCACCTACATTGCACTGTCCTGCTGTGGAGAGCTGAGGTGAGCTGTCAGCTAAAAGAAAATGAAAAAACATTGATGTTTGAACATGAGTTATCCAAAACTCTTTTTTCTCTACAGGAGACAGTTTCCTTGGAATATCATTCTGTTAGTCCTCTTTGTGAGTATTCCCCATGAACTCAGTGACATGATAAACAAAGCCTAAGACATTATGCTCATTATTTATTCATTCAGTATATATGCTAATTGGATACATGTCTTGTATTTTTCCATCAGACTCTGAGCATGGCCTGCATGATGGGATTTGTGTCAAGGTAAATACAAGCGGTGACATAACCATTTAGCTGTCTGATCATCTGAGTCTTTTCAAAGTAAAAGCCTCAGCAATAAATGTCACTTTTTTTTTTCCCCCCTCCAGTTTTTACAACACCAAGTCAGTGGTTCTGTGTTTGGGGATCACATCTGTGGTGTGTCTTTCAGTTACCATCTTTAGCTTCCAGAGCAAGGTGAGGAGAACAATTTAAAACAAACTTTTAATTGCTTTCAAACAACCAAACAGATATACTTAAGAGTTGAATGGACTCATCATCTGCTATCTGCCTCTCTCTTTTCCTGTATTTTTGTTGTAGATTGATGTCACATCCTATCAAGGCGTCCTGTTCTCGTTGTGCATGGTCATGCTTCTCTGTGCCATTACCATCTCCATTGTTGTCCCATTTGGATATGTAAGTGCCCCCCCTTTAACTGGTACCTTTTATAGAAGCAGCCTAAAGCTAAACAGCATTTGCAGCCTAATGCCTTTGGCATTGTAGACCACATTTGGGTGTGTGGGAATGGATTAGTCTCAGGGATGATCCAGCAGTGCACTTTACTGTCTTTCTTCAATTAGCATCCTGCTAACCTACTCATGAGTGTTTTGTAATGCTTGTTTTTTCAACCACAGGTTCCTTGGTTACATGCCATTTATGCAGTGTTAGGAGCCATCCTGTTCACTCTGGTGAGAACTAGACACATCACATAACTTAAATAATATATGAAAATATTTATTTTATTTACTCACTCTCTTTGTGCATAATTTTACTCTTTCCTCACTGTCCATTTTTCTCTCCCACTCTGTCCTTTTGCTATAGTTCCTTGCATTTGACACTCAGATGCTACTTGGGAACAAGCGCTTCACTTTAAGTCCAGAGGAATACATCTTTGCTACCCTCAGCATCTACCTGGACATCATATACCTGTTCAGTTTCCTGCTACAGATCATGGGGGGAGGCCGCGAGTGAAAACATGTACAGTAGATCTGTCCTTCAAGCTTCCATCTTGACTCTTAGAAACTCAACTTGGATTCATTACCCACACAAATGAGGAGACACCAGCGATTCCAGGTTCACTAAGTCACTGTTTTGAAGTTCTGTCACTTTTCTTTGAAGCGAGCACAGCGTATTTGTGCTTGGCGCTCAGTTGTGTAATCTCACCAATGTAATCCTGCTGCTGGTTTTGTCAGCATGTCCTCACATGGCTCCCACTCACCTGGTACCCCACTGTCAGTGTTTACTTTGGTCATCCCCATTGACTTGTTTTTATATTGATCTGAGGTAAACTATGATACCATTACCCATATGTATAGGTTTTGACACTTTTCTCACCTATGGATACATAACACACCAGAAACAGTTTAGGTGTGACTGACACCACCAGTTTTCTTTCGCTGCACTCTTATGTTTCATCAAAATGAAGCAAAAAAAAAGGGAACATTCAGGAGATTTGCACTTTTTAGTTTCATTAGGGACTGTTTCAAATCCTCTGTAGACAAGATGCAGTTTATTTTTTACCTGTTTATAATATATGTCATTATAGATGACACCTTTAAATATTTAATCTATAAATGTATTTGTAAAATGCTTTCATACTAAGAGCTCACTTTGTCTAAGGTCGAAATGCTGCAGGAGTGAAACCTGAACCACTGTTGGGACTCTTGACAGACAAACAATACCAACCCAAAAGGACAAATATTAGCATGTTAATTTTAACAATATACTCAAGCTATTAAAGATCAGTTACAATTGCTATTGTGACTTTCATGTGGCCTTTGGGATGCAATAGTAGAAAACTAAGATTGCGGCTGGAGATGTCCTAATTGTTCAATGGAATCACAGACAAGACAGTGAGTTGTCTGTCAAACTCAGACATAGTCTTATAAATAAATAAATAAATAAAAATCAAAAATGTAATGTGTAGTGTCTTTCTGCCTATAGTGATTATGATGGTTGTTATTCTTAATGAATTTCATCACTTGTTTTTCACATTTAAACACAGCACTGTTGCAAAAGATAAATGGATTGTCTTATTGTCTACAGGTGTGTTGGTCCTACCCTCTGCCTTCCTTTTGTCTGCAGTGATAGATTCGTTGAGGATATGGGATATGTTCTGCAGATTATCTTTAATTTTTATCTCTAATTTAGAAACACACATTAAAAAAATCAAAATCTAAAGTTAGATTAAGTTCGACTTAATTCAAATTTAAAGTGGTCAACCATGAATACTATAAAGATTGTTAAATGAAAATATACTGTAAATTCAAGGTCAAGAGTGGGTTGTTTAAAAAAGGTTTGTATGAGCAGGACTGAAGGTCTTTTCTCACTCGAATAAGATTTTAAACTAAAACATTTAGTACATTTGACCTCTTGTTACCTGTCCATAGTGAAAAACAAGTTCAACTTCAGCTCTGTCACAGCTGGCTCTGTAGTCTTCTTCAAATAAGCTACTGTGGTTGTTATTGCTCATATTAAAATCAACTTTTCCTTTAAACTACAGGTGACGTAAAACAATTTTGACAAGACCACATGGATGAATATGACACCTAATTGAGTTTATATGCCTTGTTATTCTCAAAGTCCTACATAATTGTATCCCTGACTGTGTTTTGTTCAAGTATTTATTACAAGACTCCTCTGATCATCTAGGAGCAGTCAGGTTTTTGACAGTGTAGGGTGTTATGATTGTATACAGGCTTATGTTATGGTGGTATAATGGCTGTTAGATGTTAGGTGTTGAAGCTGAGTTAAAGGTCTTTTGTGAGGTGTTATCAAGGGTTTTACAAAGCATGTCACGAAGGATGTGATGAGTGTTATGACAGGTCTACACAGTCCACTCTACAGAGTCCAGTTGCCTGATCATGGAGTCTTCAAGAAAACCATGACCTGGATGAATGAGAATCTACATGGACACGTTATGACAGGTGGTATATGGGCTCTTCTTGAAGGGTGTTATTAAAGTGTGTTACAAATAGGGTTATGAATGGTGTTATAATAGTGGTTGCTATTGGGAGTAATATATTTTTATCAATGGTGTTGTAAAGGGTGTAATGAATGGTGTTAAAGGGTGTTAAGAAGAGCGTCACATAAGGTGTTTTAACGAATGTAATGAGGGGTGTTACGAAGGGTTTTACAAAGGCTGTTGTGAAAGGGTGTTATGAAAGGGGTTTTAAAAGGTCTTAAGAATGATGTAATGAATAGTGTCATGTAGGATATTATGCAGGGTGTTCTGAAGGGTTTTATTAGGAACTTGTGAAGTTTGACATAAAGGGTGTTATGTGTGATGTTATCAAGGATTTTATGAAGGTTGATATAAAGGATGTTCTGTAGGGGGTTTATACAGGGTGTAATGAAGGGTTCATAAGGGTTGTTGTAAAGGGTCTAATGAAGCATGTTTTAAAGGCTAAAGAATGATGTTATTAAGGACTGTTATAGAGGGTGTTTCAAAACTTTCTTTTAACAATGTAAAGGTTGTATAGAAGTATGTAATAGATGCTTTGTTAAGGGTGATTGTGAAGAGTGAAATGATGGGTTTTATTGGAGTTGTTATAAAGGATTTAATACTGGGGCATGTAAAGGGAGTTTTGAAGGGTGTTAAAGTAAGTATGAATATTGTTATAAACGGTGTAAAGGGTGTATTGAAGAGTGTTACAAAGGACGTGATAAAGAGTGTTGTTAAGGTTTTAATAAAGGTTGATATGAAGGGTGTTACTTAGGGTGTAAAGAAGAGTGCAATAAACTCATCATGTAAAATGTGTGTGTGGAAGGCTGATATGGGAGTTTTACAAAAAGATGTTTTGTCAGTGTACATATGAGAATCCCGCCCATGTTGACTATCAGTCAGCCTGTTGAGTGAACCCTGCAACACATTTGAACTGCAAAGTGGTGTCAGTTTTGTTCATGAACATTATTAAAATAAATGTTTGACAGCCCTGCCTTTTTTTCCATGATGAAGATGGGAAACATCAAGCTAAAATACATCACTAATGTTGTTTTCGTTACCATAATGATGACAAGACACAAATAATTGAGGTGGATCATCGGACATTTAAAGTTCATCTTATTTCCCCCATGAGTGATGCATTCCTGTAACAAGTGGAGTCAGCTGAGAGCACAGTGCATATTTTTATATACACTACAGGCCAAAACTTTGGAAGCAAGGCCATTACAGGTCGAACATTTGGAGTAACTTAAGTTTTTGTTCACAATACTTTTTTTAAAATCCAGCATGAGTTATATGTATTTTGGGATGTATTTACTCCATGATCAGATGTTGCTTTCATGGAAATGTACCATTTTACTCCATTTACCTTTAGATGTACATTGATGTTAACAGACCATTGCTAAATATATGTCATCAAAAGAAAATAAGGGCTTAATTTTAGGGTTGAAAACATTTGCAAGAGTCACAACTTCAGTGCAAAAGCATAAAAAACAAATCACAGTTGGATTATTCACTTCAACTTTTTGGCTTTTGAGAGTCTGCATATAAAAATCCTAATAAATCTCAACTGTGTTCAAACTACCGCAAAAATGTCTAGAAAGAAGCAACTGAGTAAAGAAACAAAAGTGCAGATTTGTACATTGAGGAAAGAAGGATACACAGAAAGAGAAATTGCAAAACGCCTAAAGGTATTTAACAAAGGAGTCCACTACACTCTGAAGAGACTAGAGGAACCTGAAAGTTATGATGATAGAAAAAGGCCTAGATGAAAGAGAGTTACTACAAAAGCAGAGGATAAACATAGCATTGTCACCAGTAAGAGAGATTGGCAAAAGACAGCACCAAAAATAAGGGAGGAAATCAACATGACAAGGTCGAAACCCATATCTCTGACAACGGTGAAAAGACGTTTGAGAAAGGCTGGTCTGAAGGGTTGTGTATCTGCAAAAAAACACTGCTTCGTCCACAGAAGAAGAAAAAGAGATATGAGTGGGCAAAAGCTCACAAAAATTGGACTTATGATGACTAGAAACAAGTTTGCACTGTTTGGTTCAAAACGCAGAGTCTATGTCCGCAGACAAACTGGTGAACTTCTGAAAGCACCATGTGTTACACCCACAATTCAGCATGGAGGTGGTAGTTCCATGGTATGGGGATGTTTTGCAGGTGATGGAGTAGCAGATTTGTTTGAAGTAAAGAGTATCATGAAGAAGGAACAGTACCACTCCATCCTCCAGCACCATGCTGTTCCATCTGGACTCAGACTTGTGGCTCATAAGTTTGTTTTGCAGCAAGACAATGACCCTAAGCACTCTGCTAAGCTCTGTCAGGGTTACCTAGACAAAAAAGAAGAGGAAGGTGTTCTTCAAAAGATGGTTTGGCCCCCTCAGTCTCCAGACATTTCTCCAATTGAGCTTGTGCGGGATGAATTGAATCTATCGGTCAGAAAAACGCGTCCCACGAATCATCAGTCTCTTTTTAATGATCTTAAGAAAGCTTGGAATGCAATCCCTAGAACATACCTTAAAAAACCTGTGGAATGAATGCCTGGTATATGCCAAGCTGTTGTTAAAGCCAGAGGAGGTTACTTTAAAGAAAGCAAAGTCTAAGCAAGAGAGAAGAAGAAGAATAGTCGTGTTTAATGTGTTGCAAATTATATATATGAAACTATGACCTTTCTTTGTACAAATTGATCTTGCTTCCAAACTTTTGGCCTGTAGTGTATATCTGCAGCAAGTGCACTATGACCAACTCTGCCTCCTCTGATTGAGACAAAACTAGCTACTGGGACAAAGCCAGTTTTCCATTTTATGTTTGTGGTTTTGCACCGTGACTACCATCAACCACCACATGTTAAATCCTCAAGTTATCCTAGTTTGCTGCAAATTCAGTTAAACATTTTACCATAACAATTGACTAAACATAACACAAAAAGTATGAACTATGAAGTATTTTTGCTTTATGAAGAATATATGGTAATTTTTAAATTTGATGCCACATGTTGTCTTTCTTGAGACAGACTATACTGTGCAATTGATAATGTCACATCCCGAGACAGTGATCAATAATAATGCTATCTACTCACTTTTATACCAACTTCAGACGGACAATTGAAGAGACAGTTAACTCGCTCAATGAAACAAGACTTTTATTAAAAAAAAGGAAAAATTGACATATTCAAATTCAAAGAGAAAACCAAGAAAGAAAGAAAATCTTAATCAATAAAAAAAACACAAGTTACAGACAATTTAGCAACTCTGGCACAGGAAGACAAAAGTAGCCAAATGGCTTTGCAAAATAACCAAATATCAAAACCTCTTTCCTCTAACAAAACTGTACAAAATGAATTCTTGTATAAATAAGAAAACTGTTCTCAAGCAGAGGGTGAGACGAGCCTGCAGGATTTCCAATATGTCTGCAAATCAGACAAACTTGAATCATACAGTGTGGATAGTCAAGGCTGTTTTTCATCTTAGGTTCAAGAATGTCCACTTAGGGCAACATTTTTCACTTTGTTTTAGTTCAGATACGACAATTTAAACCTCAATTTAGCAATATTGGAAAATCTAATTCTGTTCATTGGTGTCATGATGCAAACAACCTGGATACTCGAAATAATGGAGCACATTTTGAAAATCCGGTTCAGGCAGCGTCTGAACATCTGCTTGGAAATCCTGTTTTAGCAGCAAAACATTTTGAATCTATGAAATAAGCCATTAAATGGACATTAGTGACAAAAAGAGCATTTCAAATAAGAGTGAACTGAAAAATTAAGTGCAAGCTGATTTTTTTCTTTCAAATATTGTGTGCTTTATTCATTGCACACCACTGATCTTTGAGTTACAACCAATTTCATGACGATTTTCCTAATGCTAACTAAATTTGGAGCATCACAATTTTTCTTAATATAAAAACATAAAAATAAATAAACATGGCATTGTAACAAGTGGTCATTTCATAGTTTCAAAATCCGGTTTCTGTATTAAAAGTGATGGCTAATACATGGAATATCATTTCTCTGAACATATAAACAATATCCATGACATTTTCCTTCATGGTGCACTGAATCTGAACAACTTGCTTATCACTGTGTTTTCTGGACAGGTCATAAAATCATAAAAAAGAAATCACAAAAACACACAAAAAGAAACAAACACAAATGTGTAAAGAGGAAGTGAAAAGAGAGGAAAAAAGACTATTTACAGAATTAGCTCTTGTGTCTGAAAATGGCTATGAATTCTTTGTGGGCATCAGCAGAAGATCAAGTCTGCAATGAGTACTTTAAATGCACTCAAATTACCCATGACATATTCTGAGGGAAACTGTCAAAACCATATTGTTTCTTGAGATGTTCTTATTTTAATCAGATGAAATATCTTTAGTTTCATGTACTCAATAAAGCTGTGTCAAAGAGTCAAAACAAAAGCACTCAAAATGTGAAATAGTTTGTGCGAGTTACTGACCATCAGAACCAGAAAACAGCGTTTTGGACCAGTGACTGAGAGCTAAGAAGGTGGGTGGCAGCAACATCTTTGGTTGTGGAAATGAACAATGGAAAAACAAAGCAAAACATGTGTAAAAATATGAAGACAAAAACAGAATCATCAAACTGTGAGCTTTGAGAAGAATGTTTTCACGCTCTTTTTCACAGGAAACAAACAAAGACGTTGAAGGAGGAGCAGGAAGAAAAAGCCCTCAGAGACCCTACAGCTAACTTGACTGATGAGCATAAACTCGATGGCATTCAAACAAGCCTGTTGTCATTTCCGTAGCATATATACAACTTAGTTTTGACCCTACGAGAAGAGGCAGTTCATCCAGAGAAAACATTAAGGCTTAGCTTCAGATAGTTTTTGCAGAATTTTCGATCACTCGCAAATTCATTCGGAGGAGCTGTCTCACTAAAGGCTATAAGAATCGTCTTTAATGGCACTTCCTTGGTCTAGTGAGCAGTCCTTTCGTAAAAACCATGATCTCTCTCATATCTACATATCTACAGTTTATTGATGTCTGTATAAATTAAAGTCCAACATATTTTGGAGCACTGCTAAAACATACCGGAGCTTTGATGTGTGGAGCCTCTTTGAGCAACAACACAGATGCAGCATCAGTATGTCTTTTGGATCAGCACTAAATGAACTCATTGTTTGGTTCAGCTCTCCGCTCCCAAAGGCTCTCTATGAACAGGCCCCACACAATATGAGGGCAGATGACAGGTTAACAATGGAAAAAATGTGTGAAAACAAAACCAGAGGAAATTTGATGTGCACAAGAAAACGGCGTCAATCATTAGGTGGTGGTGGGGGGGATCAACATCTACTCTATAAAAACCTAAACTCTACAGCTATAAACCTATCTACTTCAAGGATAAATTCATCAAAAATAAGGCAAATTAGCTCAATAGACTTTCAAGTGACAGACAAAAGAAACAAAAACAGAACACTGAACTTTCTATAAACTAAAACTCGCTGACAGATAATCAAACTCAGGTGACAACAGCAGCATTGAAAAAAGACTTAAAACTCCCTTTCCTTTTGAACAAACTATCACCGGGGATTGTGTAAGTCCTCTATTTGATTTCCCTCATTACTTTTGCTAAACTACATCTTAATTTAGAAACTGCATTGCTCTTTGTACACACAATCTCTCAGTAACAAATCAAATCTGAAGCACGTTCTCTTTTTTCTCACGGCAGAGGATGAATTTAATGATACCTGAAGGTTTGCTGCAACAAAACCGCTTAAAACCACTTCTCATGGACACGGATGCAACGCAGAGTTACATCGTACATCAAAACAAAACAACACGACTGTTCATGTGAACAGGCGTCATCTGGATGTCTTTTTAATTCATTTCACAGGCCAAATAAAATAGGTTATCCCCAGTGTTGGGTATGGTTCATTAATGTCCGTTCTTGTCTTTAGAGACTACAGTATTAAATAGCTTCTTTTTTTTTTATAAATGTATGTTCCAATAATCTACAAACTCTAAAAAATAGAACTATAATTCAATATAAATAGAAATAATTGATTGTCTTTTGTTCACTTATGGAAGAATGGTTTAAAGTAAAAAAAATAATTTGTCCAAACTATAAACAATGTTATTTTCATCTGTGCGTGAGTAGAAATCTCTGCAGCAGTTACAGGAAGAAGTAGCTTTAAACGGTTAATAATGACACATTAGACCAACAAAACGTGTGAAAGTTCCTAAATCTGTACAAATTCTTGCCCCCACTGCTGCAAAAAGAATGTCAAACATCAGACTTCAGGAAATCAAAAATAAAGTTTGCATATTTTACAGAAAAAAAGACACATTGTGTTTCAACTCTTCCTTGAATCACCCTGAAACGCCCAGAATGCTTTTTTTAAAAATAAGGATTTGATATATACGTGCACAAAAATAATGCTCTATGTCTTTTCCTCCTCTCTTAATTTTTTTTCTTTTTTCAGCTTCTTGTTGTTCCTTTTTTCAGTAATCAAAATAGATCTTGGCTTCTGTGAGGAAGATCCCCAACCTTTGGTTGATCAACTCTTGAGGATATTAGCAGTGAAGTCCAATGACATGAGTGTTGTCCTTTTTCATAAAAAACAAAAAAGGAAAACAAAAAAAAAAGAAAAATCTAGCATACATGCACACTCACACATACATACATACACACACACACACACACACACACACAAAATCACACACCAACACACGCACGCACACTTATGTTCCTTTTGTTATCCATGTTCAAGTCTGGGATGCTTGGTGATGGAGCACAGATCTCCTCCAGCTGAATCCTGTTAGGTTGGATTCATCCCATGCCCTCGGCCCACCCTGCTGGGAGCTACAAAACATACAAACACATTTAGGAGTGGGAGAAAAAATCAATACAGCATAGTATCACACTATTTTGTCTGATGATATATCATATCGTCTCTTTTACCAATAACAATTTTTAAAAAATTAATAGCTAATATGATCTCAGGTCTATGATAAAGGAAAAATAAAATCAATTGTTTGTCCGGTGAGGTCGGCTGAGGTGACGTCATGGAGACAGGAGAAAGTACAACAAACATGGAAGCATCTGGGGAAGGACATTAGGAATGCAAGCAGGGCACAGATGAGATCGACATGACACATGAGGTTTGCAAGAAGTGCTATATGAAAATAAAATACTGCGTTGATAGGACAAACATGCAGGAAAAACAAATGCTAAAGTAGCTAAACAGTTGAAAAAAAATGTAAAAATTGTTATATATGGTATTGCAATACTCTGCAGTAGTATTGAATCATGGCCCAAGTATTGTGATAATATTGAATCACGGGGCCACTAGTGATTCCCACCACTAAAACAAATGCACACAGCTCAGTACTGACACGCCAATCAGCTTAATTAGTTTATAGGTTAATGTTCACAAACATACAGTATGAGCGATAAAAGTCCTCTTTACACATACATTAGAAAACTCAACGAAAACTTATCATCTGAAATTGTAAAATAACCTCTGGAATGGATCATCTGACTGCCTTAAAATTAGTGAATGAGTAAATGCATTGATCATTACACAATGATAGTATAAACAATAAATGTGTTGTTTAAAAGGTGTATGATGATAGGATAATTCTGGGTTAAGAAAAAGACCAGATTTTGACTGTCACTCAATGAATGAGGTTTTGGTTTGGCTCTTCATGTGTATAAAAATGACACAGTAATATACACATCTCAAACTACCATACCACTAATCCAATCAACACTGCAATCAAATTTCTCTCAGCTTGAATCTTGGCTTATTGCCAATAAATTACTCTATGCTGTTTGGGACAAAACAAAATCTTGCATCCAAAAGCATAAACGAATCATTAAATATCACTTGTCTCGATGGTACGCAATTGCATGGAGTTGACCATTTGAAATATCTTGGACTATGGCTAGACTCAGAACTTTCATTCAAGTGTCACGTAGATAACATTGTCCGGAAAATCAATGTTAGTACTGGTGTTTTATTTCACAACAGAAAATGTTTTACTTTCACTGTCAGAAAGAAACTTGTTCGCCAACTCATTTTACCCATCATGGACTATGCTGATGTTGTTTATCAAACTGCACCTAAGACCAACCTTATTCCGCTTAACACACTTTTCAACCGCTTATGCAGATTTGTTCTTGGCTGTTCTTACTTGACCCATCATTGCACCATGTATGAAGACCTGGACTTTCTATCTCCTTTAGCTAGACAACAGCAGCACTGGTTTCAGTTCATCTTCAAATGCATTCATTTTCACAATATTCACAATATCTTAAGCAGTATATGGACCCCTGCACATCTAATCATCATCTTCGTCATTGTGCACAGATTTATTTTAAAGTTCCAACAAATGTATGCAACTCAGTTGGCAAAAAATCTTTTAGGTACAAAGCTCCCACTGATTGGAACAATCTACCTGTTCAGATTCGATCGATAACCTCATTTCAACTATTCAAAACCCACTGTCCTCTCATCTGGAGATCACTTGTTCATGCTTTCACTAGTTACAGTATATCAGATCTTTGACGCAATTTTTTTTTTCATATATGTGCTTTGTGTTTTGTTGTTTGTGTATTTTGTGATACCTCTTGGTTATCTTTTTATTCTTTACTTTCTCTTTTGTGTCATTTATTTGTTATTGCTTTGTTTATTTTGTTTTGTTATTGTTGGCTTTGTTTTGTTTTCCATGGATATATATTTCTACGTATCTGTATTTGAGGATCCCCTCGAAAACGAGATGGTTCATCTCGAGGGGTTATTCCCAATAAAGAATTTCGAGAGTGGATTTCTTAAAAAACATCAAGGAGAGAGCAGAGACACTTCCATGTCCTACCTTAGTTTCACTTATTGTGTTGGTATGAGTAGTTTGTGTGTTCGGCTGGGGTCTCCATAGCAACCTGTTGCTGTTGACCACCGTTCTCCTGTTAAAAAAAAAAAAAAAAGACCCATTCAAAGACTACTTCAAACAAACAACAAGGTTTAATCAATTTATAAAGGATAAAACTGTTAATTTTATAATATGATTGACCTTGGAGCCAAATAAACCGAGCACAGTCGGATCAAATGGCTGAAATTTGTTAAAAAACTTTCCGAAATCTGTAACATCCTTCACTCTGTCCAGCTTCCCTTTCCATACCCTCCCTTTTAATCCCATTCAGCCAATGACAGCCTCAATTCCTGGTTAAATACTTGTGTTTATCTTCCCATTAATAAATCCGCTCTGTTTCCCATTCACTGTTTTGCTCATCCTGCTGGCTCCCACCACTTTAATGAGCTCCACCTTCCAACAAATAACTCAAGACCCCTGCAGATCACTCTGCCAGACCCTGAAAAATCTCTGAATAATAGACTATGACTAAGTCTCTGTACAGCACAAAACAGGGAATAAAAATGTATTTAATATCACATTTAAGCAGGTTCCATATTGTTTAGGCAATGAGTGCTTAAAACAAGATGCTAAAGGATAAGATAGAACAAGAAGGACAGATAAAGCAAACCCAAGTCCAACAAAGCTGAGACCCTGTTATTGTTTCATGACAAATATATGCTCGTCACAAATTTTATACCATCAGCACATTGTTTTAAAAGTTGGGTTAGGGACAATAGAACAGTGAAAAAGTTGTGTACTTTTAAATTCCTGAAGGAACAACACCAACAAAAGCTAATGGGGTTAATTTGCAACGGGGGGACTTGGTATAAAGAGGGGGTCACACAGAAGCTGTGTGTTTCAGCAGTAAAGCTGGAAAAAGGTTTACCACTCTGTCAGAGTGCATGAGCAAACGGTTACATGAGTCCAGATTGTATTTTCTTTGGATAAAATTGTAAAAGAACGTGGGGATATCATCATCTCTAATAGATAATGCCATAAAAAGATTTAGAGAGTCTGGAGAAATCTCTGTACAAAAATACAAAAACAGGCAGAAGATCAATACTGATCTTAAGGACCCTCAGGCAGAAGAGCTTTAGAAAACGATAAGGACTCTCTAGTCAAAATCTGCATGTGCTTTATAACAGCAAAGCTCTCTAGTAAAAGAGTATGAGTGCTGCACTGCCATGCACTGAAAACATTTGGTGAATTAAGCGAAAAAAAAGAAGACCCTGTGTTGAATGGTATCGAAGAATGGCATAAGGTATTAAACTTTCAAAACACCAGAGGGGTGTCTCTTCAGTTTCAACATGTTCACAGTGTTGTGAAAAGAAAGGGTGATGCTTGATGATGTGCATTATTTTTAACTATACATGGGGTTGGAATAATTAGCAAACCATCAATTTCTATTTTTAGTCAACATCTACAGAATGTTGGGATTACACTCATTAACACAGAAGTGATCGGGTTTATTAGGTGGTGAACGCTAACAGACTTAAAAATTGTTGGCCAGTGACATTAGTAGGTTGGGGCTAGACTCTCTGATGAGGCTGCTTTCCAAGTAAATGTTCATCTTGAACATCATTTAACACCCACTCCATGATATACTGACGTACGTTTGTGTGTGTGCCTGTGCGTATATACAGTCTGATTTCAGTTGGTGCAATAATTGCATATAATCAATGTAGAACCATTTCATTTTAAATACAGCTCTAAAACTCACTTAATCTCCTGCTGCGTCAGTGACTCATATAATTAACATTTCAGTAATATAACTAAGATGCACTGAAACTTTACACTATAGGCAGCTATTAAATGTGAGGTTTTTGTACAGGTGAACATTTTGTTCAGTATATTGATCTAACCAGGACAGAAAGAGGAAATGAGGATTATTTTTAAACTGAGTTGAAACTGTCCTTTAAAGACTTTCTTTAATCTAAAGTAGGGCATAAATCAACACAGTCCAACATCACTTTCCAGCCTTAGAAACTCTCTGATGTATTTCTGTTTGTATCTGCAGAAAAAATTAAAGCCTATTTGACTTTTCTGTTTGTTCTAGCACACAAATTCAGTGCACCTGGACACAGTCCAACTCTGTAAGTCTTCAAATATGAAATATGACCTTCCTTGCTTAAAGGCCTCAATCCACCACTTCTGAAAAAACATACAACTGAGACCTGGCCTGCTCCAAACAGCAGCTAAGAGCACAGATGCCTCAAGCTTTAGTACATACAGACATATAAAAGCTTTATTTATCACTTTTCTTTACACACACATTGTTAATGTAAGCAGTTAAGGTTAAAGCTAACTTGATACCTCTACTGGGACACTGGAGGGAGGCACTGGGGTGTACTGGGGGAGGTAGGTCCCCTGCATAGATGTGTTGGCCGGAATATACTGTAAGGAAAGCAGAGAGGAAAGCACAGATTGTTTGTGGAAATAAACAGTCGTTAATCTTGTGTTTTTAGGGCAGTTTGCTACAGAAAGAGTTTTTCTGCCTTATACAGTGTATGTGCGTGTCTTTGCGATTGGTACTGACTGTGCCCGTGCTGCCCAGAGAAAGGTGGCTCAGCTGCTGGGTGAGAGGTCCCATCATGGACGTGGGCTGGATGGACATGGCGTGATCCATTGTTGGGGTTATAACTGTACCCTGTAGACGTGTAGAAACACCAGACATTGATCATCCACAAGTTCATTACTGTGTTTAAATCCAGTACAAAAAGAGAGACAAAAATCTGGTAGTATAGGGTCAGACCTAGAACTTAATTTTGTCTCCCAAAGATTTTTTTAAATGAATTCCAGTTGTCTTAAAGTTGTCTGTAGCTGTTTTGTACTTAGCTTCTTTATCAGATATTTGTGCCAGGGTGTGAATATGGCAAACACGAGGGAGGAGAACAAGAGAGATACTCACAGCTGGCTGCATGAGGTATGACTGATGGTGCATCCAGGACGGGCTGTGTACCTACAGAACAATAGCGGTCAAAGAACTGCTCTCACTGAACTTGTGCAGCTGTTGTTTAGTTTTGAAACCATGCTTAGCAGTTTTGCGTAACATGCAACATAAACCCAGTCGCACAGAAAAGGTGGAGGATATTATAACAGTACCCATGAGACACATGAGATAATCTTAGAAGAAGACCCCTCCTTGTAAGATAAAGTTTTAGAAAGAGATCTTGAAGTGCAAATTTTGTTGTTTTACAGGAGCATAGTTTGGAGTTGCCTTTTTCCCCTCTTCCTCCCTCCTGTTCTCCTTTTTTCTCATCTAAGAAAAAAGCTGCTTTTGTGGCGACCCAACAGTTCCTGTCCCCCTCTGTATGTGAGCTGTCTTTTTATGTTTCTTGGACAGGTTCATTGTTCTATACTTGTAGATGTGCAATGACAATAAATTCCATTCTATTCTATTTTTTTTCTCCATAAAACATTTTAAAAGAAAAGAATAACAGAAACACTGAATAAAACAAGACTGGTCATAGTCATAGTTTTTCATTAAATTCACTTTTTTTTAAACCTCTTTACATGAAATTGTTACATTTGAATAAAACAACTATGATCGATTGTGTAAACAAAGCACCCAAATGATTAGTATTCGAATATTGTATAAACTGAGAGAGTCAGCAGTTTTTCAAACTGAAGTCCTCTGGTAATGGACTTTGCTACACACATTTTAAAAAAGTTTTTGGGCCTGCTATCCTCCAAAATTGCGCTCTGTGACAGCCTATTTTTCGTCTGCTTGACAGTTGCTTGATGTTTCTCCTGCATTGATGACCATTACTGAGAAATTGGCATCACAACCACACCATGGTTGATAAATAACTGAGCTGCTTTATAACATTCCCCATCTTTCATTCTCCTGGCATGGTAGGGGTGAGTGATGGCAGACTTCAGGAATAAGGGGAACACTCACTTAACAGACAAGCAGTGCTGTCCGCTGCTGTGAAAGAATATTAAATTGTTGCTTTAAATTTATTGACTCTAAGCATGAGACAATACTGTTTTTCCCAATGAAATGACAGTTAAAAAAGGTTATCTGCTAGTCAATACTTTTATCCTATTCACACACTGTTGACAATGCCATAAAGGGAAATGTGGGGGTCAAGCTGGGGATCAAATCATACTGAGTTGATAGTGAGAAGACACTCTCTATCACTGGGCTCTAAAAATTGCATCCTTAATTTCTGTGGTAGTAGTCATTTAATGTTTTCACAAATTCTACAATAAATCTTGATCATAGATGTCATGAGAAGTAGCAGACACAGGAAAGATCCTTGACCTTGTGTCTTACATCTTCAAACATCAGTGAAAAGATTTCATTTTGTGTTTACTTTGGCAGTTCCTGTGAACAAGGCAGTACATCTTATCTCTTTACTTATACTCTGCAATACAAGGGTGTGGTGGTATTTTCCAAGAAAGCTTTAAAAAGCCTTTTAACTGGGTGACACACGACTCATTGTAAAACAAAGAAAAAGGGAAGAAAGGAACTTTAATGGCTGTTTTACATTTCTCTGTTGTTAACTGACCTAACAGCAAAAAAATGCTATTAGAAATAAACTGCTGATCATTTTTGATTTTTTAGGTTTTAGCTATAAGTACATTTATGTCGTTTTCTTTACCAGGGAAAAACTACTACAGTGCCTTAAGCATACCTGCCAACAGTCCCGTTTTTCCCGGGACTCTCCCGTATCTCAGACCTATCTCCCGCCCACCTGCCGTAATGTCATTTCTTCCGGGAATCTCCCGTAGTTTGCATAGTCCATGTTCATCCATGAATCAGATCACCATATTTGTCCAAAGTTGCCAGGATTCTCCTGTGTTTCTGCTGAGCCTCACAGACACTGGACTGATACTTTTACTTTACAATTTGAGATGATTCAGGTCGGTTTTAGCTGTAAACTATATTTCAGCAGTGTTTGTTGCAAAATGAACACCAACAAAAGGGAAACAAATGTGAGATATAATATTTATGTTGATAGTCTTGCACCGTCTCAGAGTGATGCGTTTAGGGCAGCCTCAGATAAAAGAGTGCTGTATCGCATGCACAGATGTTCAGAGAGCCTCATATGGGAGAGCATGTAAAACATATGACGACTTTTAACAACCAAAATTAGTGGACTAAATAAGTTAAAGGCATATTGTAGCTATTATTTTTTTTATTACCATTTGTTATTGTTAAAACAAAACAAAAAAGTGTGCATCTTATACTTATTTGTATGAGCAATCGAGTTACAAATACTCTCATAATTAGCTCATATCCACCATACAAGGTAACCCCAAAACTGCCCGAATTGCACTGCAATTTCATAACCCAAATGTTGGCAGGTATGGCTTAAGTTGTGACTTTAGGGCAAATTAAAAAAGGTATTTCTGCAAAGCTTGACAATTTAAATCATAAATCCAAAGAAAGTCCTACCTGGTAGGATGAAACAGGAGAATGCATGTATGGAGAAAGGGAAGTCTGGGCTATCATTCTGTTTGGAGCCAGACTGTAGGGCGAGGAGTAGAAGCTGGCAAACAGACAGAGCAAAGTCAGAAGGAAAAAAAAACACCTTCACCATGTCAACAATCTGCAGTATTTGTCCAGCTACATAAACAACATTTTTGTGTCCCTGTAACACCCAGCAGAGGGCAGTATTGTATCAAAGTTTGAACACCGTGCTTATTTTCCTGGAGGGTTGGGACTGTTTTGAGTCAGTGTGTCCATACCACTCACCCATTTTGTAAGGCTGTGGGGTCATACGCAAGCGTCATTCCTCCCTGGGAAAACAATACACAGAATTCACAACCAGTGAGGTCATGCAAACACCGGTGCAGTTTGAGCTGAAACAGTCGGCCTGCATAGTTGGAATGATCCAATCAAAAACTTTTTAAAGCCAGCTCTTACTGCAGTTTACAACAAAAAATCTAACAAGTGAGCACAGGAGTGAGTACCGCTTTTACAAACACGAGTGTGTGTTGTCCAACCTACCGTATCTCCATCTCTAACCCAGGGCCTCCCATTCTGCAAATACTTCCCCTGGTTCTGCCTCTTCTTCTGACCTCCGTCTGCAAACTTACATAATAAGGGCTCTGTGGGCACTGTGAAAGCAACAGATCAGACAAGAGGAGAGGATTCAATGATCACAGCAGGGAACAGAAAACACAGGGGTACAGACACATCCAGCAACAATATCAGGTTCCTATAATACAAAACAAACATTCCACGCACCAGGCACTCCCGGTGGAGTCTTGATGAATTTGCCATTGAAATGCTGAATTATGGCCTCGCACTTCTCTGTGGACTCCATTCTGAAATACAGTCAACATTAAAGGGATATTCCAGCATAAATTAATTTAGGGTCAAACACACCGTAACACCTAGTTAGACACCCCCGAGAGATGAACGTTGCCGACTGATGCTTCTCTAGTTATACCAACTTTAGTAACATTACTTTACATCATTACTTGATCATTTCCTTGAAGTAATAATCACCATAGTAATCATTTTGCACTGCAGACGCGGTAGTTCTTCTGCCTTAGCGTCTCGGTCTGATTGCATTTCCATGAAGAAATGATCATAAATGTTCTTCCTTGAGCTGCGTCACCCCGCTGTAGTTCGTAATGGACTGGCCCGAGAACTCGCTACAAACAAGCGGCTGCTGGAAGAGAATAGGTGAGTTGTGTTTAGTCTCTTTGCTAAAGAAATAAGGCAAAGTTAAAAAGATGTTTGGTATCTAGTGCTGTGGCTAGAACCCTATATGTCCTGTTGATGAAGTTAGGTGCTGTTCTGAGCATTAGTTGTGGCTATAGAGTCTCGTTTTTGTTGAGGTTTGTTTATGGCTCCTCAGACCGCTGTGTGTTGCTATCCTCCGGTCGTTACTAAAGTTGGTATAACTAGAGAAGCAAGCGGTCGGCAACATTCATCTCTCCAGGGGGTCTCAAACTCTGTGTCACCGTGTGTTTGACCCTAAATTAATTTTACGCCGGAATATCCCTTTGAATCCCTTAATTATTCTTATTTTAAATCTGTGGCAGAAATTTATCAGCCTGTACCTCACTGTCGAAGCTTTCCGGTCTTACCTGGCGAATCCCACACCACGGCTGGTCCCGTTAGCATCCCTCAGGATACGTGTGGAGATGACCTGACCAAAGGACTTGAGCATGCTCTCCAGCTCTTGCTCATCCATAGATATTGGCAGGTTAGAGATGTAGAGGTTGGTGGGGTCCTGCTCTTGTTGCTGTTGAGTTGGCAGACAGAGATGATACCTTTTCAAGATCTAAATCCAGAATAGATATTTAACTTGGAAATCAGCCCAAATGCAGTATAATGCTGCAACTTTTACTTGACGTGTACCTTGTCTTTTCTACAACTTTACCTCTTTCAGGTGTGTCACTTCAAGATGTCAGTCTAAAGTACTGCATTAGGCTTTTATTTTTTATAACACTTTAAGACATCTCTGCTAACACATTTGCATTGCTAATGGAAAATTTTCTTGTCACTTTCAAAATCTTTTTCACACTGTAGAAATTCCTGTGTAGGCTGCAGTGTGACCTGTCTTTCCATCAACACCTGCCATCACTCCCAGCACATTCATGCTTGATCATATCCTGTGTGCACCATTTCAAGCACTATTTTTACAGGACACCATACAGATTAAATGTTTTCAGGTAATTATTGCCTGACAAATAAGTTGAAACCCTGAATAATCCGTCACCTTGTGGCGCCTCAACTAAGACAGATTTTTTAATCCACAGACACATGCAAGTATAAATTTGTCTGCAAAGATTAAGCTGCACATTTCTGATGAGGGTTGTCTAATTAAGAGATCTTGATAGCTTCAAGAAAATTAGAGTGGAAAGAGATTATTCAGGGTCTTATTCTGTAGCTCTAGTTTGACAGTGAAACCTTGTGTGACTGTGCCGGAGCAGACAGGAAGCCAGGCATGAAGTTAAAGAGTACAGAGAGCAACAGGAGCCTGGCAACCAGGAGAAAAGAGGCTGGGCTAAAAAGAGGGGAAGGGAAAACAAGAGAGCAAAGGAAGAGCAGAGAGAAGAGGGACAGTGGGAGAAGTGAGTTGCTCAAAAGACTGATATAAGTACAGGAGGAGGGAACTAACACGATAGGAAGTGGTGGGAGTCTTAAGTAATTTGGGCAATGAAAGAGGAGGATGACAGAAAAAAAAGCTAAGAAGGAAAAGAGGATAAATGAGTGCTCGCTGATTAAAAGGGCTCTTCTCTTTCATCAAAATCTCTTTCATCTCCTTCATTTTACATTTTGTCCTCTTTTTGAAGCACTTAGCACTTTGCAGCCGACACAGTGTGAATAAAACAACAGATAAGGGTTTAGCATTTGAACAAGTCTGACCCACACATAATACAACAGAGAACAACACACATCCACACGCTGGTGCAGCCCTGGAGTCAGATTTGACAGTCGTAAAGTGAGTTCACTGATCTGGAAAAATTGGGTCATATATGGGGTTAAAGTTCGTCAACAGCCTTTATTATAGAAAATTGACTGCCTGTATGAGTGGCCTCTGTTCTCAGCTTCAAGCCACCTGGCAAGGAGGTAACCCATTTTCTGCTTGTCGTCACTCTGGGTGCGGCAATAGGACTATTATGTAACACAGTGGCACACTGCAGATGAGATTAATGGAGTCCAGGTCTTAATAACAAAGAACCTTTTTATCCCGATATTTACTCTTTACTTGCACACACAACATCCAATCATACTCAAACAAATATCCACCCTGCTGCAAATACTAAAAAGTACAGTTGGATTCCAGTCAGGCGCATGTTCAACAAGATTTATTGAACCATCAGTGCATTTTTTTGTAACCGGCCCTAGGTGAGTCTTGTCTGTCGGGGTGTGTCTTTGTACATTTGCCAGATTTGCTTGCTTGTGTGTCAAGTAGTGCGTGCAAGCTGACGTATGAGTAGGGAGGTGCTGGCAAGCAGGCAGAGATCTATTTTTAAGTCCGCCACGGTTCCCCTGCCCCTTATGCGCTTTGCACCTCTGGGCTCCCAGCCTGGGGGCCGTGGTGGCCAGTTCAGGGACCAAGCATACACTGAGGAGAGCAGGTATGAGGTGTGTCTTGTTGTGTGGCAGCCATGGTGAGGATGCAAACAGGTGGAACTGTCCTTAAGGGTTAGATATCTGACTGATTCAAGACTGCAGGTTGTTTTTTCTAACCTGAGGAAACCCAGTGACTGCGAAGTGGTGGCATATATTTAGGGTTTTATTGTGGCTATCAACACCTCAGTCTGAGCACATGCTGTCTGGGTGAGTCAGGTCTAGGTGTCCAGTTACATGTGTTGGGGATTGAGATACACAGGACTGTGTGGCACTCTTTTAGAGTAGCTTTAGTGAACCTAGACTTCGGGTTTGGTTGCACTGGACCAGTTCAGGTCAGCTGGCAGAGTGGATCTGTTACACTTTTCCAGGGCTGGGCCGAGGGAGACCCCAGTGTTACATTGCAGTGGGTCTGTTTGGGTGCATGACAGAGGGGTGGGGGGCAGGGACACCGGGGTGGAGTGTATTAAGTGCTGGTGTCAGCCCCAGGCCTGGGCCCAGACGATGGACAATGCCAGCCCATTGTGCTGGTCCCATTGACAGTGGGTGTAGTGGCACCCTCCCCTGGACTCCCTCAATGGGGAGCCTGAGAGCCAGAGGGATCAGCTTAATGGGCCGACAAGAGTTGCTTTGACTGCAGACACTTGGACAAAGAGCTCAGAACAAGCGCTACGACAGGAGCAGGTTAGCAACATACACAAGCACAGAGACAAGGGCGGAGCGGAGAGGGAAGGTGGCGAGGGAGAAAAAAAAAGGAAACATGAGGATAAAAGGAAAGGAATTACGGGATTGACAAAGCAAAGAGAGAGATGAACTAAAAAGCTGATGAAGACAGGGATGAATTTTTCTTGCAAAAAGCCTTCAGTGCATGAGGGTAAACCTCTTCAACTGTCCATTACAGGAAGAGATTCACCCAATAAACTACATCACAGCACACCTACCAGGGCTTGACCCTAACTTTTTTCACAAGGAGCACATGTTCTCCTAAGTTGAAAAAGTAAAGAGCTCACAAAGAACTCTTGGAAAACAATAAAATTTGATCAAATAATGTTTCTCTTATTGGTCGACATAAGTACTTTATTTGAAATCAATTTTAGGTCTTTAGGTCACATGACATGGAAGTTATTGAAGAAAATGTTCAAGATATGCCTTTAAATTTAACACAAAATTTTCGTAGAGGACAAATTAGGGAATTTAAGAGGTGTGTCTATTGTCCGACTTTAGTACTATTATTTGAAATCAATTTTAGGTCAATTGGTCACATGACATGAAAGCAGTTGAAGGAAAACAGCTTTTTCTTTGAACATCAACCTGTAATTTATTAATGGTCCCTTATTCAACACCCAACGTTGACAGCGACGATGCCTGATTTAGCCGCTGTTGCTATTCCCCGTCATGGAGAGTGAGAAGACACCGGTAGATCCACAGTGAATGTCCGTCGAATATCCAACCTAAAACTAACTTTACTGCAGTATTTACATGAGAAAACATTTGTTGCCTCGGCTAATGTTTTTATGCGCACATGTGCCCCTAAATACATTTTACAATTAGCACACATCTATTTTTAGTCGCAAATGCAAGTGAAACAGTCGCACTGTCGAGCCCTGTTTACACCTATAAACCAGAGTTTCTCTTGAATCCTTGCCACCATTTGCTGCCAATCAGGCCACCCCATGCAGCAGCTCACCTTTTCCGTGACGGAAGACTACGTCTCTTAGAGGTGAATTCAACAAGTCTTAACTGTGAGGTTACTGGTGAATTTGTGGTAAAAGCTATAGTGCAAAAGCTCTTGTTCTTGCCTTAGCCATCTGAGCCTGGACCCCACTGGACTTCAGGGCTGTAACAGCTTTCTGTGCTGCTGCTGGACTGTCAAAATCCACAAAGCCATAGCCTGTAGAATAAAAAACAAATATAATAACATTGCAGTAATGTTGTTTAGTCACAGAAAGCTAAAAAAATTTAGAAGAATACTTTTTTTTTTTTTATATTCAGTTACAAGGCTGCGAGCGAACATAAAAACACAGTTTTAAAAAAACACTAACTGACCTTTACATTTGTTGGTGGTTTTATCCAAGATGGCCTTGGTTGACACAATCTTGCCATACCTTCAGGGACAGAAAGGAAGGAAGAAAACAGGATCAGTGACAGATAAGGTGACTGTGAGTCCAACAGAGGAATCCGCTCCAACCAAGCGCATACCAATCCTGTCACACTTCCCCCCGGCTACAGGAGTACAGGAGTAAACATGAATATGAACTCTTTCGTGCAATCACTTGTGTCAATCAAGTGTCACAGAAAACTTTGTCCGCCTCCGCCCATCTAGTCTTTGTCTGCCAATGCAGGCTGCTGTTTTAAACAGACAGGAGACAGCACCTGAGGGCCGAAAACAATTTGTCCTAAGCCTAACTATACCACACACACAAGCAGACAAAGACACACACCTCTCTACTAAATAAAGCTCGGCTCTAGGGTATTTTTGGTTCATGCAAAGCTCTTAGGTGTTGTCACCACAAATGTGGACTCTTAAATTGATTTTTTTGCATAACAAGAGAACAAACAGGGATGTTTGATTTGGTCCACTTTGCACAAAATAAGTCAAATACTGTATGAAACCTTTGGTATCTTATTTGAACCAGCCTTAAACAGAAAAAACACGGCATAGACCTTTTTTTAAAGAAAAAGAAAACTGATGGATTGAACCAGATCCATAAAATATTTATGGAATGTAAATCAAGTTTGAGGAAGCGAATAAGAAGTTTCATATAATATTGAGAGACGGTGTGATGACAGTGTTATAAGGGTGTGCATGTGCTGCAGTGTTGTTTGCTGAATTCAGCCAGCGAGGGCGGCTGGTGCTCTCCTGTTTGGGCGACATGGCGTCTGGGCGGAATGTACACTGTAACCTGATGCTTCACCCCTCCGGTTCGCCTTCCTTCCCACTACCTCCCTCTCCCTCTCACTCTGTTTTTCCACCCTCACATCACAGGACGCCACTGGGTCCTACGCTCCCACCTCGTTCTAGTGGACACTTGCCTAAATGACTCAGATGAGACAAGACGATCAGAACAAAATAAAAATAAAAACTGACAGCAGACTTTTGTATTCATGTAAAATTTTCATCCAAGCTTTGAAATTGTTCATTTGCACACAAAGTCCATACACCATAAACTGCAGAGGATCAAGCTGACATAATCTCAGAGTTCCACTGCTGAAGACAAATGCAGGAGTCAATTCCCTTGATTATTGTGGAATAATGAAATGAAGAACAGATACATTATAGAGGGCACTTCCTCTTTGCAGCAATTAATGATTCATCCTCCATTGCCAAATAGCTGGATGACCTTTGCATAGGCTAATTTTATAGTTTCCCACTGTCATCCCAGAGCTGCAGAGTAGTCATGAGGCAAGAAAGTACACGTACAAGCTTTATGCATTTTAACTGTGTGCCTTATCCAGCACACAGAATTGGCTGCCTAATTTCGGAGAAACTGTGACTACAAAACAGCTAATACTTCACACGACTATTATCTAAAACTATTTTTTCCATAGTTTTTTCAGGGACCTGGTTGTACTACAGTATAAATGCCAGATGATGGCTGTAGCCCATCTGAAAGCTGTTGTGTTGTGTTCTTAACTCCATTCAGTTAAGAAAAAAAAAAGAGACGACAGGGAAAATTTTAGCCATGTAAAACAGGTATGGTGCTGTGAGATCTGAAAATATCAGACTCCTGCAGCTAACCAAAAAACTCCTCTGAAAAAATGAATCAAATCAAAGTAAGGTGCAAACAACATCAGGAGAGACAAGCATATTGAAAGTCTGCAGTAACTATGTACAGAGAGCAAGACATCGAACACTCAAGAGGGGCCCGTTTAAAAAACTGCTGTTAAGTTCCCAGTGACTGTGAAACTGTGTTTTTGCCCAAGTTAAAAATGTCATTTTGTGAAAACTCATTCAATACATGACCTTAAAAAAAAAATAAAAGCTGGTCTCCGGGTCAGATGTTGGTGTGACCCTTCTTTTACCTCATTCCTACTGTAGCACATTATTAGCCCACCGCACTGTGGAGCAAACAGACTTTCAAGACACTTCTGACCCATGTACGGCTTTCTGAAATTCCTACCCAGCATGCCTTTGCCCACTCATTTAAGTTTCCTTTTCAAGGGTAGCCCTCCCACCCACCCCTAAAGCCTCTGTCTCCTTTCCACAATGACTTCTCTGTTGATCCTGTCGGGCCCATGTGCTTCACACACCAACTGCAGGTTTCAGATTTTCTTTGATTGTTCCAGCTTTGACAATATGTGTCCATGCGATGCACTATTACTCAAATATTAACATAATTATCTGATGCTTACTGTGTAAATATGCTCTGTGGATTTAGAGGCTTCCTCATGTAGGGTCAGGATGGTTGAATGCAGAATGAAAAACAAATATTAATCAGGGAGAGGCTGTGTCGTTGGTATAATTAAGTCAGATCTTATTAGATATTTCTAGTGTCTGTGGTTGTTCAGGAAGGTGCGTTGTACCTGTTACTGACCCACAAAGATGACGGATGCATGGCCAGAGTTCAAAAATCACATCTCTGACGTCTCTGATCTGCCAAAACCAGTTTGGGTGCTTTATTCCGAGGTTTTATCGCTGTGCATACGTGTGTACCTGTGTTTGTAAAGCTGACATAATATAGAGGCTGGGCCGTTTGTCTAGGGGTGTGTATTTCACAGCTGTTGGAGCCAAGTCTGTCTCACAGAAAGAGGAAGGTTAGATCAGGACAGGAGGCAACACGCTGAACCCTTCTCTGGCCCCTTCTCTTCTTTACCCCCATCCCAACCTTCGCCTGACTCTCATGTGTTCTTTATTCACTCTTTTTCAGCCCTTTTGTTGACAATTTCTTGTGTTCCTGTGATTGTGAAGATTTAATCAATATGACCTTAGTTGTGGTTATTCAACATCTTTATTTGCAAACCGCTTTTTCTGCCTTCCTGTCGAAACAGCTCTTTTCCCCCTGAACATCAAATTACAGTTTTAAATAGCTTAATTTCATGTGTCCAACAGATGACAAGCATAGCTCCAAACAGCACAGATGTTAGCCACTCACATATAGTTAGTTTCTACATGACTTTTCTCCAGTGTTGTGGGAAACCAGTAACTTAAGAAAACCTGCACTGATTGTATCTTTGTGTTACCCTAGAGTCATAACTAAACAATAGCTCAACGAAGGCCATATCGTACATATCTCACATAGCTCATTTTTCCAGGACAACTAGAGCCCACATGCCTACAGCTTACATGCAAATGCAATTTTTTGCATTAACATTTTAAGATTTAAGTGTAGAACAGATGAGGGAGAACCATTCTTAGACAGAATTGAAAATAAAATGTATATGCCACAAATCACATGAAACTGAAGCCTTGATATAAAAATTGTAGCAAAGAGTCTAAGTGGAGGAAACAGTTTGGCTGGGACTTCCTCACTTGACAAATTTTCAAGATTAAAGCTTTTTAATGTATATTTCTAAAAAATGTGAGTACATAAACAGGAATCAAAAATGACATTTCTCTCCAACTAACTGTGCAGGTATACAGAGAAAAATAAATGAATGAATAAAGAAATAAAAACCAACAAAAAATTGTTGATTTCTTGCTAATGGTCTATTTTGCTTTTGAGGGTCACACAGGGACATTACTACGAACCTCAGTCAATTTCGTAAGCAACTAGCGACAGCTAAGGACAGCTTTAACGATCAAACAGAGCAAGGATGGCTAGTTTCTGCGTGGTGAGACGCCTCAATCTCCAGTTTTATTTTAGTAGAACTTCCTGTTTTTCTTGTGTCCCTGGCCTGGCTTGACTGTTCTTCCCTACCCCCGGTCTCTAAGGCTCCACACCTGCGCTGCATTTGCAATCAAGGCCCTTGAAGAAGCCAGCAGCCCTCAGTCTCAGCGCCTGAGTATTGTCTTCGCTCCTGAGTGGTACAGACGCTTCTCCTTGCCTTCTCCTCAGCTAAGTGCTCGTGACTTTTTGCTCCCTGTGATTCCTTGTATGTCTTCTCACCTCTTTCTCCTCTGCTTCTCCACAGTCTCCAGCCCACACAACAGCCAGCCTGTCCCTGAGTTCGGACATTAAAATTACATCTTTTAACTTGCTACCTGCCTCTGAGTCTGCTTCTGGGTCCATAACATACACCACACGCCACAGAATACTTAGGCCAGGAAAATGGATCCAGCAGACCCAGACAGGTTCCAGCAAGCCGTCCACAAGCTCGGGGCTCGCCTCGGTCAGCATGAGGATATGCTCCAGGGTCTCAACCAATCCTTTCAAGGCCTCACCGTTCAAGTAGCGCAACTGGCGGATCATCTCCTCTCCCGGCTCCCCCCTCTGTGAGTACGGCCCCCTCTTCACCCTCCCCTGCCTTCAAAGAGCCTTATGTCCCCCCTCCCGAGCCATATGCTGGGAAGATTGGGGGCTGCAGAGGTTTCCTGCGCCGATGTGTGATCGTCTTTGATCAACAGCCTATTAGTTACCCCTCAGATAAATCCAGAATAGCCTACACTGTTAATGTGTTGAGAGGCAAAGCCGCTAAGTGGGCTACTGCCGTTTGGAAAAAAGACTCTCCTATGCTGTCCTCATATGCTAGATTCTCTGAGGAACTTTGCAAGGTTTTTAAATATCCTGTAGAGGGATCAGAATGTACCAAGCGGTTGTTTTCCTACACCCAGGGCTCTCAGTCTGTGGCGGAATTCTCTATTGAGTTCCGCACAGTGGTGGCTGAGAGTGGGTGGGGGGAACATGAGTTAAAGGGTGTATTTTCCCGTTGTCTGTCCGAACGGTTAAAGGATGAGTTAGCTGTTCGTGACGCCTCTGTTCCCTCTACTTACTATGATCTGGCTATGGTCTTCAATAAGGAGCAGTCTCTCATCCTTCCTCCTCATCGCCCCTATGACTGCGTCATAGATTTGCTCCCTGGCGCCCCTCTCCCCGGCAGCAGACTGTACAATCTCTCTCAGCCTGAACGAGAAGCCATCGAGGAATACATCTAGGATTCCCTGGCTTCTGGACTCATCCGGCCCTCATCCTCTCCATTTGCTGCTGGCTTCTTTTTTGTCAAAAAGAAAGATTCCTCTCTCCGTCCCTGCATCGGCTTCCGTGGACTCAACAAAATCACCGTAAAGAACAAATATCCCCTGCCACTCATCGATCCCTCCTTTGAACCTCTCTGCAACGCCACCATCTTCTCCAAACTGGACCTCCATAACGCCTATCACCTGGTTCGCATCCGAGAGAGCGACAAGTGGAAGAAGGCCTTCAATACACCCATCGGCCACTTCGAGTACCTCGTCACGCCCTTTGGTCTCACCAATGCTCTCGCTGTGTTCCAGGCACTCATCAATGATGTCCTCCATGACATGATCAATAAACTCGCCTACTGTTCTTCTCCCGCAACATGGAGGAACATCAGCAACATGTTCAACTTGTCCTCCAGCTCCTCCTTGAGAACCGACTCTTCGTCAAACCCAAGAAGTGCGAGTTCCATGCCTCCTTCGTCAGCTTCTCGGGATACATCATCACCCAGGGAGAGCTACGCCCAGACCTGGAGAAAGTCTGCGCCGTCTGGGACTGGACCACTCCCTCCTCCCGCAAAGATCTCCGGCGATTCCTCGGCTTCGCTAACCTCTATAGAAGATTCATCCGGGACTACAGCAAGGTGGCTGTGCCTCTCACCCGTCTCACATCCCTCAAAGTCCTGTTCTCCTGGACCCCTGAAGCAGACGCCACCTTCCGTCAACTCAAGTCCCTCTTCATCTCCGCCCCAGTGCTCAAATACCTGGATCCCTCTATCCAATTCGTGACGGAGGTCGACGCTTCGGACTCCGGAGTGGGGGCCGTCCTCTTGCAGAGGGATCCCGAGACCCAGAAGCTCCATCCTTGTGCCTACTTCTCCCGGAAACTCTCACCCACAGAACGAAACTATGACGTGGGAAACCATGAGTTGCTGGCTGTTGTGTGGGCTCTCCAAGAGTGGAGACACTGGCTGGAAGGAGCACAACACCCATTCCTTATCTGGACTGACCACAAGAACCTGCAATATCTCCTTTCTGCTCGACGCCTCAACTCCAGACAAGCCCGCTGGTCCCTCTTCCTCAGCAGATCCTGCTTCACCCTCTCCCATTGTCCTGGCTCCCGCAATATCAAACCTTACACCTTATCCCGGATTCACTCCTCTGCTACATCGGAGCCCAGCGAACCAGACACCATCCTCCCTGCCTCCTGTGTCGTCAGCTCCACCTCTTGGGTAATCAACACCGTTGTGGACAAGGCCCTCCTTAAACACCCGGACACTGGACCTGGCCCTCCTGATAGGAAGTTCATCCCTGAGGTTGCACGTTCTCAGGTCCTACAGTGGGGGCATTCCTCTAAACTCACCTGTCACCCTGGATTTCAACGCACCCTCCATTTCCTGCAGCAGCGGTTCTGGTGGCCAGGGATGGTCCGGGACGTACGGGTGTTTGTTGCCGCCTGCTCCGTCTGTGCCCGAGGCAAAGCCTCCCACCAACCTCCGGCTGGCTTGCTGCGTTCTCTGCCTGTGCCCTCATGCCCCTGGTCTCACATAGCTTTAGATTTCGTCACTGGTCTCCCCCCCCCTCTGAAAGTAACACTGTCCTACTCACCATCATAGACAGGTTTTCCAAGTTTGTGCATTATATCTCGTTACCCTCTGCGCTAGAAACTGCTAATCTCCAAGTGTCTCATGTTTTCCAACTCCATGGTATCCCCATTGACATTGTGTCAGATCGTGGTACCCAGTTCTCCTCACAGGTTTGGAAAGCTTTCTGCCAGGCAGTGGGCACGGCAGCTTGCCTCTCCTCTCCACGAGTTGGCTTTGCTGTGTGTGGTGGCCCATCATCCAGCTTCCTGGAGTACTCACCTCCCCTGTATCCAGTACGCCCATAACTTCCTCACCTCCTCGGCCACAGGTATGTCTCCCTTCATGTGCTATTTTGGATATCAGCCCCCCCTGTTTCCCGAACAGGAGCACCCAGTGGCCATCCCGTCGGTGAGGGAGCACATTGAGCGTCTACAGGAGGTGTGGAAATCCGCCAGGGCCGCACTCACTTGCAAGGCCAAGCGCAACAAACACCTGGCTGATGTTCACCGCTCTCCAGCAACAGACAATCATCCTGTTCAGATAGTCTGGTTATCGTCCCGTGACCTTCCCCTGCAGACCGAGTCCCGCAAGCTGTCTCCCCGCTTCATTGGTCCCTTCCCTATCCAGAAGATTATCAACCCCTTGGCGGTAAGACTGAAACTTCCCTCATCCCTCAAAATTCACCCCACGTTACATGTCTCCCGTATTAAGCCTGTCACCTCGTGCACCCTGAGCCCCCCCAGAGTGGTACAGACGCTTCTACTTGCCTTCTCCTCAGCTAAGTGCTCGTGACTTTTTGCTCCCTGTGATTCCTTGTATGTCTTCTCACCTCTTTCTCCTCTGCTTCTCCACAGTGTCTCCAGCCCACACAACAGCCAGCCAGCCAACCAGACTTTCTCTCGTACCTTTTTTCCCTGAGTTTGGACATTAAAATTACATCTTTAACTTGCTATCTGCCTCTGCTTCTGCGTCCACAACATACACCACATGCCACATTCTGCTTTTGATTCTTCTAGTGCCATCAACAAACCTCAACCAAAAAGCCACTCTATAGCCACAAATAATGCTCAGAACAGCACCTAACTTAATATATTAACTAATATGGGTTTGAAGACCTTGACGACCAAAAAGGAGTACAACTGATTTTCCAGTGTAACCCAATCAGAGAAATATACAAATAAACGTCGCTCACGGTGTTGAACTCTTGAGGCTCGTCGGCCAAACAGAGCGTACCTGAAAAGAAAAAAACAATCTTAAATTCACTCACGGTTGGCAGAGCTTGACCAGGTCTTGGTCTGTTGTCCCAGGATGAAGGCCACGGATATACAGGTTAGTTTTACTCAGCTGTTCCCCTCCCCCACCACTGCTGTTGCTACTACTGTTTGTGTTGGGACTGGGGGGCGCCATCTGGTGGCCGGAGGACACATAGGCCTGCTGAAATAGGAAAGAAATGTCAGTATTAGTTACAGTTTCTGAGAGCACAAGCAATTATGGTCAGCTTGGCCTCTTTGCTGAGAAAGCAGCCAGAAAACCAGACCAGAGTCTAGGCTATCTACCTCTGTAGACATGGTCGGCTCTGCCACTACCACCAAGAATAGCTCTACCACTATTCTCAGAGTGAGTGTAAACTCTATTAAGACAAATTTTCAGCACCTTAATAAGTGAACATTGAGAAAGAAAGAGACTCAATAGAGAAAGACAAGAGAAACTTCAAGAATAACTCGAGAGTAGGAGAGATTACAAGTTACCTGGTGATGCAAGTGTGTGAACATCCGTCTTGGACCTAGTATACTTGACACCACTGTTTTCTAATAAGTCAGACTGAAATCACACTAAATCAAACTTCTTATAGCCAGACTAACATAAGTGGATAATGCAGTTGAGGATCAATTTTCTCTGTCATGTATATGCCTCAATTAAACTAAAACTGGCAAAAGCTTTCTGCACATGCTCCAATGTTTGCACGCCAATCTCTGAGCCTGGGGAAGTTGAGTAGCAGGGATGCATTGCTAGGAAGCAGAATAGAAAACAAAACGTCAACAGACAGAGACGTAAAGAAGACAAAACTTGCATATCTAACTGAACAAACGGTACAGGGCTGTAATAGTGACTGTGTTTTCATCACTTGATGGGTATCCCATTCGCACTTTGCTACTGTATTTTGGGCAGTAGTAGCTCAAGGGGTAAAGCAGTTACCCAATAACCAGAAGGTTGGAAGTTCAATTCCCACCTAGCCCAAGTCTGGGCTAGGTGGATTGTGTCCTTGAGCAAGACGCTTAACCTCTACTGGTGTATGATTTCAAGTGTTGTATGGTGGTGGTTCGAGAGGCCGTCTGTGCAAACTGGAAGCTACGTTTCTGTCGGTCTGCCCCAGGGCAGCTGTGACTACAAAGGTAGTTTACCACCACCAAGGTGTGACTGTGAGCGGATGAATTGTGTATCCAATGTAAAGCGCTTTGAGGGTCTCTGATAAAACGCTATATGAAATCTGATGGATTATCATTAACTATTTTGATACACAAGTCAACCAGGAGACACCAACCTGAGAGTAACAAACCAAAAGGCAGCGTGTCGCCACTTCCTATAGAGGAAGTGGACATGCTTCTGTCAATAATTCCATTTTTAACCTGTGTTTGTAAAATGGTACAAAACAGCAGTCTAGTTAAATCACCTTATCGAGCTAAAACTCGGCTCAACTTAACTGTGCATGTGAACTGCGACTGTTAGCTTCTGTCTGTCAGGTACTCTTAAACATTTGGTGCCCAAAGTTTTGTCAAACTAAGATTCAATAAAGTCAAAGTTCACAATATATCAGTGACTTTCACATCATACACAAGATTAGCTGATCAGTGTGCTGCGGGCAGAAGAGTTTTGCGCACCACATCCGAGAATAGTGCGAAACAAATGGGCAAAGTAAAGTAGTGACATTTTTTCCAAATAGTGCATACACTGTGAGAGTCTAGCACCAGTTTCCCCTTTGTCTGATGCATTTAAGAGTGACAAGCATCTCATACAGCCCACACACAACAACAACAAAGATCAATCCCTTTAGAATAATGTATGATATAAAGTATGAGCAAATACAGGAGTAACTTTATATAAGATTATATTTAAAGTGCAAAACCTAAAAATGTGGTATTAAGTTGTTGAGTAATTGAAGGTGATCCTGCATGGGGCAGATGATTATGTGGGAGCTGTGAAAAATGATATCACACGGCTCACATGTCAACACTCACCAATACTGCTTTCTGAGGGGAATGCGGGGCCTCTTGGCTGCCTACTCCATATAGGGAAAAGGGGCCTCTTGTGCTCTCTCTCTGTGTTGAGTAACTTCTTTCATTCTTTGAAAACCAAAAAAAAAAAAAAGTGGTGGGTTTTAAACCATATCTCTACAGATCTAAAGCTAACATAAAATCAGTCTGAGGATGCAGAATTGAATAATGGTCAAGATGTCAACAGCTTTCATTCTGCAAAGTTTTCTCTCAATTTACTGCCCGAAAAAGTATTTTTAATTAAATCACCACCATCTGCACAGTCCCAGTTCACTTCTTTCATGCAGTTATTTTCCTTTAAACATGTTCCCGGTATTAACAGTTAACAAGATCCTGAGTGGAAAAATGTCAAAACAGGGTTCAGTACAGCACACACTACACAAAAGTCCATTCATCAAAATAAAGTAAATGGGGAATATTAAAGGATGAGTAAGAATAGCACAGCAGGAATTTATTTAATGACAAATCAAAGCAACATGTTCAGGTTTGGCCCATCTGTTCTGAACAGATACCTGGCTGAACCACTCTTGATCCTCTCTCATGTCTTTGGTTAGTCTCCTTTGTTTGATCAGTTTACGAGGACTCAGTGCTGGTGAATAATCGTCGTAAACTCTGGCAGTCAACTTGTCCATGACTCACGGCTGGAAACATGAAAGGCTCTTGCGCAACAACCAGTGCATCATCTCATCTCGCTATGGGATAGTTGCCCTCCTTGGAGAAATAACACAAAAGATTGTGTAACCATGCAGAGACATATTTTTTATTGGGATAAACGTAGTTTCGTTATCACTTTGGCTGTCAAGAAGTCACATTAAGTTGCTCTCTTTCCAGGAATAGCTCTTCTGGCTGTATTCCAGATGAGACTCAGGCAATAAATAGCAGCACTTGAGTGCAGACCAGGCACGCCAGAACTGGCAAATGTTGTGAGTGTTTGCTCTGAGAAAAGGACTTAAATCTCATTAATCTAGCAGCAAAAGGTTTTAATACATTGTGGGATAACAAAGGAATGAGAACAAATATGGTCTCTGCCTCAGCTGAGTGCCGTGAGGCCAGAGTGTCTCATTTAAGAGAGCGATTGGACAGAGGCGACAAGAGGACAATGGGGTTAATTTGAGCATACAAGAAAGGGTCACTGATCAGACCGATGGTGTTTAGGAAAAGCCCAGCAGGAAGTAACAGTCACACCAGGACCACCAGCAACATCAACCAATCCCGCTAATTAGACACCACCCACAAGGCCTCTCTGACCTCTGCTCTGCCATGGCCGCCATTCAACAACAGACCCATTTCTGCCAGGAAAGCCCTCCCCTCTATTGCAAAGAACTGGGAATATTTAGTATTTTCCACCAGTCGGATAAATGCACCCATGCTCACCCCTGTTATCAGTGAAAACACGGTGGTCTTCTATCTCTACAAACTCTTTGAAAAACAGCTGCCACGCTTCAATAATGCGTCTTCTGAGGAGGGAACCACTAATGCATGGATACAAAAAGCTTGTTGGAAAAAAAAGAAATGACTATCAAATTAAACATACTTTTAATACTATATTCCAGTTTCAGTCACCATGTTTGTTCTGCAGATCCCTTGCCAGAAATAAAGAGACCTTTGTGCTTCAATAAATAGTCAATGAAACACATATTGGCAGTTCAATTCAAAAGTATTAACAGTCTTCTCTCAGGCATTAGTGTTTGCAAAGCTACTGAATTTTTACATATTCCTTTTCTTTCAACTGCCCATCCATTATACATTTTGATGGAGAATTATACACCATCTTTAAGTTTTTCTTTATTATATACCTAAAATTTTAGATGGCCAGTGGAAAAGCTAAAACAACAGCGTAAGCCAGCCAGTAAGAGTTCTCATCCAACCTGTCAAAGTGTAACTCACGATGGCAACCATTTTCAAGGCTGCTAATTTGTGAATGAGCAAAGAACAGGACAGCAGAGACCTGTAATCTCGTTCAAGCACTCTTAACCAAATTGCCAATTCCCAATCAAGCTCTAAACTGTAGCAGATCATTTGCAACGACGCACATGCAATCACACACCCACAAACACACCACTCACACACACTTAACTGCTACAGTATGCCCAGCTGAAAAAAAATTAAAACTGCATGATATCACACATCAAAATACAACACATCTGCTTATTGATGTCAAAAATGTGTCATCTCCTGTTATGTTAAACTAAAAATGGAAGAACTGCATCTAGGAATGATCTCATTCAACTGATTAAATGATATCCACCAAGCAATCAGATGTTGTTTACAGACGCCTAAAAGTTGAATTCATTGTAGAACAAATTGGTACAGAAAGGCTCAGGATTGCTTGCTCAAATAAAAGTATCAGTGACTTCAAATGGAGCACAAGCACTTAAAACTAAAGCTTGTGCCCTTTCTGTCAGCTGTCGTCAAATTTTAAGTATTATGAGCAAAAAAAGGCACTTAATGACCCTCCTGTCAAAGTAAAGACGTCTTTAAAACTGCTTATGAAATACATCTGTACACACCACAAACACAAGCAATCTAATTTTAACTACAAACACTCGAAAATGTCTGTGCTGCTGTGCTGTTTGATGATATTTCAAGCTATTTAGCATCCTGATGAATTTAAATTGTATTTGCAGATAAAAGGTGCAGGAACTCAACTTTACTGCATTTCCTAGAAATCAGTCAAAAGATCTGTCACATGAAATTTTTAGATGGCATTTAAGATTTTAAGATAGCATAAAAATGCAGGAAGTCTTGGTTTAGTCTCTTTATACGGTAAACAATTGATAAAATTCACACAATAATATGGTGTTTTAAGAATGATGTAGAAGCCACCCCAAACTGCTCCAGAAATAAACAGTAACCAAGTTGTGAGAATATAAATGCTAAGAGCAATGATTCAGTCTATTAAGTCTATATGTTCTAGACTTTCATTTATCTCGTGGAAATCACATGGAATTTTATGGTACATTAAAAGGCTCTAGTTTCTCAAGTTCACAAAGTTTCAATCTAAAAAAAAGAAAATGAAACTTAATAAACCAGTAGATCAAAGTTCACAGCAGACAGAAGAAACCTGCAGTCTTACAAAACTCTGATGACACTGTCAATGCTTCTGCAGAATGGCTCCAGCTGCATGACAAAAGGCTCAAAACTACCTCAGGATATTTTTAGGACCTAAGTCAAGATAAAAATGTGGATTATTTATATAAATAAAACCTTTTTTTAGTCATCTGAGCTAACGTTGATGCATTTTCTTAGCACTGACTGATTTTAACCTCAATACATCAAATACTGGCAAATTATTTGAAGTTGTGTCCTTAAAAAAAGGTGATATGAGTGACTTATTCACATCAGCATCTAAGATGATGGTTTATGAACCTCTCTTCCCAGTTCCATCTGTTTCAATGCTCCACCCTCTTCATAGTCTCTCCCTACCGCTGTTTTTATCTCCGTCTCTCCCTGTGGGGCTCTTCCATTCGACCCTTGTTTGACCCCCTGAATTCCATGGATTTCCTGGCTGTTGGGGGGTCTGCCTGCCTACTCCCCTTCGCTGCTCCAGTCTTCTCCTCGAGCAGGAAAGAGCCATGTCTGTCTGACCAGCTGACTGACTTACATGCTAATGCACAGATTTATAGCCCAGAGAGCTGAATGAGGACACGGCTTCCAGCTTGTATAGAATTACCCTGCTGAGCTGCCGCTTTGCTCTGGCTCCACTTCAGGACCAACGAGGAAAGTGAGTCATGGGAGAGACCATTCAACACTTTAGACACGGGCATCAACAAACACAGTGAATTTAGAGTGATGAAGCCTTGTCATTTCTCTTTCGCAGGGTTGATTTACAAAATACGTGCAAAATGATTAGTCCCTCAAGACTGTTGCAAACGCAAATAAACGCAAATTCAGCTATCCCTGAAACTTACATGCAACTTGGTAATTTTGTCTGATCACTGCAACTTTGAAGATGGCTATCTGCTGTTTGTCTTTTCAGTTCTGTTACGCTTAATCAGCAGAAAAAAAGCACAGAAAAGTGTTAGTTGTGTAATTAAAGCATCTTTGGTTACATTTATCTCAACTCCTTGCACATCTGCAAAAAAATTTTGAGCTAGATCTGATATTGCTTTTGTTACAGACCTTTACTGGCTTTAAAAATGATGCATAATAGGGCACAATGATCACAAAGATCTTTCAAAATCCTGGAGTAACTGAGTAATGTGTTTGACTACTAATTTGTTACATTACACCTGGTCAAGTTCTTTATCTTATCATTAAACCTATACTAAGAAAAAGGAAAGTAATAGCTAACGAAAAGCTTACTCTTTAAAAAGTCTCTCTCTGTCAGCTGAGGGTGAATTGAGGGCTGTGTCTAGTACAGCAGTAAAGCTGCAGTATGGCGACAGGCAGGAAATCCTCTGCGTCTGCTCTTGATCTTATCACACGGCCATTCAGATGAGATGATCTGCATTCCAACCAGGTGACAGGGACACCAAACTCACGCCCAGACTCGCTCCTGAAACCTCCTTCCTTCCTTTCTGTCTGCAGCACTCCCTTTTGTCTTCTTTTAATTTCTCATCTTCAAACTGTCTGCTGTTAATCATAACTCAGCACACTGTGCAACTGCACACTTGGCCTCCACGCCAGGTCAGGTGTCCACAGAGCTCAGGAGCTTGGAATCAGATATGTACAAACAGCAGCCCTCGGCTCAGCTAGCGATCTAACAAACCATGAGGCACTTCGAGTGTCTGGCATCACTGCGGTACCTGGCATCAGATTTCTGACAGCTGTGCTTTCTCCAAGGACTCAGCCTCCCTCTCTACCTGTTCACCTTGGCTGGATCATGCGGCTGGCACAAGAGTTGGGGGCTAATTCAAAACATCTGACACTTTAAACAAAGAGATAGACAAACATATACCTGGCGGAGAGCCAGAGGTACAAAGGTGACTTTAAGAGTTCAGCGAGGATAGACTCGCTACAGTGGAAGAGCTGGTTTAATACAAAAACACAAAAGTAGCTAAGTAGGCAAGCGTATGTTGTGTCGTTCCTGTTGAGGAGTTAATTCATAAGTAAAAGACAGGATATTTGATGTGTACCTGCTACCTTCTGCATTTTTTTAGAAGAAAAACTAACAAAATTTGCTCATAGATCCATTTTCATCCTTTCGTAACATGAGCTTCACCCTTGACTGACTCAAATTCATTTAATGTGTTACTGGTATTATTAAATTCGCAAAAAATACATTAAAACAAACCCGAATTCCAGAGAAACTCTACTCAACATGAACAGAACGACTCTGTCCACTCATGTACTTTGAATTTTACCTCATGTTGTGTGTGTTCACACTAGGCGTGAATGAAATTGTTCACTGGCTTATTTATTTGAACACCTGAATGTCTAACTTGCTTCATTTCATGTTATATTGCATCCAAGAGACATGAATCAAGGAAGGAATCAGGCAAAAAGGTTGTTTTTTGTAGTTTTGAGCATCAGTAAAAGGGGCTTAAGCGCCTGATTATTCACAGAGCTACATAAAAAACCTAAAACTTGTTTGAAAACCCATGGCAACATAACTTTCTCGGCAGTGGCTCCCAAACTGTGGAATGAATTGCCACTTGGGATTAAAACATCCCCCACTATTTCTACCTTTAAATCACATCTTAAAACTCATTTTTATTCCTTGGCTTTCAGCTCAGCATGAGAGTTGTGTGATTTCTATCCTTTTATTTCTTATTTCTTTTATGCTTTTGTGTTAATATTTCATTAATTTTATTTTATATGTTTTTTACCTGCTTTTATTTATTTCCTCTTGATTTCTTTAAATGTTACAGTGCAGCGCTTTGGTAAAATTGAATGTTTTTTTTTTTAAATAAAGCGGTTTGGATTGAATTGGGAAACCCTCACAGCACTGTCCCCACTGTCCCGTCCTGTCAGCTTGACGGTTTACACAGACATTGATTCTGTGGTTTCATTGCATTGTTGTCTTTATGGCACCAAGATGTCCCCAATTCTGTCTTCTTACTTCGTATACAAAACAGTGAGGCAGACCCAGAACAACAACAACCTAACAATGCCACCTTAAACAGCCACTGGAAAATAGGCCAATATAACAATTGGTTGTGACGCTGCATTTTGCTCCTTGCTTTAACCTGCAGTTATTCATTTAGACTTTGACCAGCAGAGGAAACAGAACACCAAAACAGATCAACAGACCTAACCCACACACCCACACACCCACTCACACACTCACACAGCACAATGATTAGCCCATTAGATGGATGTTTATGTCTGTCTGATGAACAAAAGCCCAATATTTGGGGAGTTCTCTTATTAGATAGATCAGATGGATGACAGAATAAAGTCTCATGGCCTTGTTCTGACTGAGGGCAAATTCAATTTGTTTCTCAAATCACATCTTTAAGACAGACTGTGTCCTCAGTTATTTGCAAGTGATCAGATCAGATTACTGTGTCATGACATAACAACCTATCATCGTGTGTTACTGTGGTGACAGCATAACCATTGGTAACCAAGAGGAGCAGTTTTTATTGAAGTTCAGGAGGTAGGGATCCACCGTTTTACCCTAGAAGAGAAATCTGTTCGAAACGCCTTCATCACACCAGAGAAACTAAGCAAGCTAGCTGCTACAGCGGCATGGATTCTGATACTTCTTTCGCTCTCAATTTGATGTCCTCTTCTTGTGTCACATTGCATGTGACCTAAGAGACAAACTCAACACTGATTTGGGTGGTTCAAGCTTTTAAAGTGAAATACAAAACAACAAATCTGATCATAGTCTGACTTTGAGGGATACTCCGGTCTAAAATTGATTTAGGGTCAAACACACCATAACACCGAGTTAGACACACCCTCTACCGCCTCTGCAGTGCAAAATAAATACTATGGTGATTATTACTTCAAGGAAATGATGAAGAAATGATCATAAATGTTCTTCCTTGAGCTGCGTCACCCTGCTGTAGTCCGTAATGGACTGGCCTGAGGTCTCGCTACAAACAAGCGGCTGCTGGAAGAGAGTAGGTGAGTTGTGTTTAGTCTCTTTGCTAAAGAAATCAGGCAAAGTTAAAAAGATGTTTGGTGGCTAGTACTATGGCTGGGACCCTATATGTACTGTTGATGAAGTTAGGTGCTGTTCTGAACATTATTTGTGGCTATAGAGTGGCGTTTTGGTTGAGGTTTGTTTATGGCTCCTCAGACTGCTGTGTATTGCTATCGTGCAATCGTTACTCAAGTTGGTATAACTCAGTGGTTCTCATGTCCAGTCCTCGAGGCCCACTGTCCTGCACATTTTGGACATTTCCCTGCTCCAACACATCTGATTCAAATGATCAGCTCGTTATCAAGCTTTGTAATGGCTTAATAATGAGCTAATCATTTGAATCAGGTGTGTTGGAGCAGGGAAACATCCAAAACATGCAGGACAGTGGGCCTCGAGGACTGGACTTGAGAATCACTGGTATAACTAGAGAAGCAAGCAGTCGGCAACATTCATCTCTCAAGAGGATGTCTAACTCGGAGTTATGGTGTGTTTGACCCTAAATTAATTTTACGCCAGAATATCCCTTTAAACCATCTCCAATAGAAGCCAGAATTCATAGTAAATCATTTTACCTGTCAACTCTTTTCGAGGCAAGATGTCCTTTCTAAGTTACCAGTCTGCTGAGATCTGCCAGTTCAGTTCCAGCAAAACAAACACACAAACATCTACAAGCTCATGGACATGTACGCAGTTGTCAGTCTGCAAGGGCTGACTTTGATTTAAAGGCAACAGACAGAAAAGTAAACCAGACAGGTTTAAGTTACAAAAGTGTAAATAAATGTGTCTCAGCCTAGAGGAAACTTGAATGCTAAAACAGAGACATTTCACAAATGCATCTGTCATAACTTCCCTGTCCTTGGAAGAATTCATGTGCAGAGGCAGAAACAACAACTGACGTGATAAGATGGTGAAGACTGAGTGCTGCACTGCTAACTAATCCTTCAGCTCTCACACTTTCTGAGTTCATAGAGCTGTTGTCGCAAGAGAATAAGCCGTGTAGTGTAAGGGTACTGTCTTCAAATACCACTTCTGATTGTTCCTCTTCTGCATGACTACACTCGCATCGCAGTGAAGACTGATGTACTTAACATTTCAGCATCAAAGTGATAATCCTCCTTCATCACTTTGAGACCTAGTTTTATTTACTTGTCAATTTTTCAATCATGCAAATTTGTCCAAGTGGTCAGTAATTTTTTCTGTAAAGTGAAAACCTCGAAACTTTTTTTTATCCACATTGCACAGCCTCAAATGTGATGTGAATAATTTAATATGTGTCCTATAAGCATATATACACTTTAGTGACACTCCTGTGTGATTATAAATCATGGCTACAGTGGCTATACCGAAGGACCAGTTTTTATTTGCAACCTTCCTGCTGTCAGAAACAAAATTCAAATCTGTCCTTAATTTTGTGTCACTGGGAAGTAAACTACGAGCAATATTTCGAGGTGGATTGTGATTTATAAAGGGAGCAATGCCTGAAAGTGTGTGAGCGCAGAGTTTTATTGATCTGGGTTGTTTTTGTTGAGCTGGTGCTTTCCGTGTTTTAAGTGTATACAAAGTTGCAGAATGATTTTCACTGAGTCTTCCAAATGAAACCCCAGATCTTCCCCAGGATAGGAAATCAGAATTCCAGTATTAAAATGTTGGATTAAAAGATCCAGCATTGTCACTCTCTATATCTCTATTAGCCATTAGATACCACGCAGGTTGAGTTTTGCTGTTATGCGATCAGAGCTATTCAGATGAAAACACTAGCCAATCAGAGCCAAGAGACTCAACCACACTTTAAAGTAAACACGCTGTTTAACAAAAAGGAAGCTAGCATAAAGGTGAAATAGCTCACTAACTTTGCAGAATATCCCTGCTATACAATTGTTGACGAAGGGAGGTGCTCACAACAATTATTCATGAAATATTAACTGATAAAGCTGCAAGGTTTAAGATGAAACTTTGTAATGTAACACTGATGAAAATACATGTGCTCTGCATCAAACTGGAACAAAGTCACACATTATATTTGAGAAGTCTATCTCTGTGAAATAGGATTTTTGTCAATCATCACCATTAGATTACAGATGTTGTAGACTAGCTTCGATGCCATGAATGGGTGTTTAATGGGTGCTTGGATGGTAAATCTGGTGCCTTGCTGTCCAATCTCTGTCATAAGAGCCTGATTAGTTTTCCACATTTTTGCAAATCTATTACAGATAATGTCAGGAACACAAAACTGTCAACAGCTTCAAAAAGTTCCACCACTTACTTTTTTACTGGTAGCCTTCCTTGATTTGTGTCAGATCACGTCAGTATGAAGGGAAAATCTCCTTGCACTGGCTTGTATCATGTTTGAGCAAACTGCAGGGACATTAATCAATCATACTGAGAATTTAGTTTGCTTTTTTTTTTTCGTTGTCAAAACAACTCGACTGCTGTGGGGTGATACAGATACAATCAGGGACTGTCTGGAAAAATCCTCTCATTGGAGCATTTCGAGGACACTTGACATCTGACATTTGACACAACTGATGACTTTTCAGATTACACTGGGCCAGAATAAAGATTTTCTAAAAGCAATATCCTGTAAGAATATTTAATTCAAAACAACAACTACAAGCTCAGAGTCGTAGTCTCAAATAAGTGTATTGCTGCAGCCTGCCATGTTAACAGCCTTTTTATTTGTTTCTGTAGGAAAACATGTTAGAGATCAGGGGTGAAAGTAGGCTAAGGTTCTTGCAGGTACTGGGGTACTGTACCCGTAGGCTTTGTACAAGAGGAGCACACCCAAGTTTAAAAAGGTGCTAACTCTGAAGCCACAGTATCATCATCTGCTGCATCTCTCTTTCTCTTGAACATAAAATCAAAATTTCTCTGCATTTTTGTTTTATTTCTGCATTAAAATTCAAGCAGCTGTCTCTTTCAAAGTTCCCTCCTTCCGCAAAAGGCGGAAGGTGATCCCCAGCGCCTAGGCAACCAGCGTCCAATCAAAAGATTGAATCAAAGATCCAATTACTGAGCGGTCTCACTACCGGAGTTTGTTTATTCGCAGAAGCAAATATGACTCACTCGTAAGCAGCATGATCCTATCGGATTACTACAGTTACAATGAGGAGTGCAGACTGACGTGCGGCAACACGGTGAGCAAATGTAGCCTACATACATTGCAGGGGGGAAAGTTTGCGTACCTTTGCGTACCAACTGTAAACCTCTGCTTATGTCTTTCCAGTACGACGCACTGCTGCGGTCTTGTGCCGTAGAATGCACCCCTGTCGTAGAATGCACACCCTGATGGGAGCGCTGTTGAAAATACATAACAAGGAAGGAAAAAAATAATCCAAGTTTTCCTTACCGTTGGATGGAGTCAAAAGCGTGGGCCTTTAATGATTTCTTTCAGGCTATTCAGATAAGCCGAAATTATAATGTTCTCTACATTGACAGCTTATATACCAAAGTACACCTCTATATGTGCATTTTTGAGACAGATAAAAACAGAGCGAAAGTTTGCTGCTCCGTTTGACATGTTGTCATAATCCAATACTCGTGTTTTTTTAAATATGAGATCATTTTCTTCCACTTTAAGAAGCTAATGAGTGGATGGGATGCAGGGGGTGCATTCTGCAGCACAACACCTGCTTACTTTCTCTCCTGGATTTTGATGTGTCACCACATTTGTCCTTCTTATCACCAAAAAACAAAACTATGTTGTCCTTTAGCCTTTTTTTTTTTTACTTGAACCAGATCTGACAGATCTGAGGTTGTAGTTTAGCGTTTTGGCTCATAATTTTGCTGAATATTCATATTAACCAGCCCAAAATATCTTAGACAAATAAGCATTTACTCTTTGCAGGCTGTAGGATGCTCTCACCTTTAGTGTTGAGATGAATTAATGCTTGTGTAATGTGAAGGTTCGATGTAAGGTGGTTGGATAATTCTAATGATGAGAAACAGCAGAATGGAGACGGATAACTTTCTTAGCAGCACTTTTACTCTTCAGCTATCTTGTCATCCCCACAATATAACCCCAAAAACCTAACATCCTGGACAACCCTGATCACATGTCACAGCACTTACCAATCAGAGGCTAGGACCTCAAAATAAATGTAAATGAACCTCAGAAACACATTCTGCTAACCCTAACAAACAGCTGCAGAGAAAAGCATTTAAACTTGTACATATGAACCTGTCAACACTTTGTGAATAGTTCTCTGTATAAATTCTATAAACACATTTTTTTAGCTTAACTTAGAGACAGTTCACTGTAATAGTTAACACATATGAATTGACTTCACTGTTAAAGCTTACACTTGCTTACAAAACACCCTCCTGATTGAAAAGTTTCCTTGTTCGTGTATTTTTACTGGATTTGTTGCATCAGATCAGATTTAAAAAATTTACACAGCCACTTTTTGTTTTTTAAACATTTTTTTGAAACATGAAGCAAATCCCTTGACCAACAAAAACTAATCAATGTTGACAGGCCAAGCACAAGATCTGAAACGCTACAAACCATGCTTACCAACCATACCAACCGAGTACGTGATTCTTTTTATTATTATTATTTGACGTGGAAAAAAAAAGACATTTCTTTGCTCCATTTGCAAAACTCTAAACAAACTTCTCCTTTTGTTTTAATCCTACTGCTGCCAAAAACATCAGTCAGACTGTGATTGTTGTCAAATGCACTCATATATTAATAAAAGTCTTGGTTCACATGAGGCAAGAATTATGTAACACTGGTGACGTCTGAAAGCTTCTGGGGGTGGTAGAGAAAGGGTGGGAAACCTCACTTGGAGTTTTTAGTGCAACCCTTTACAACATGCAACAACTTACTGCATGAGCTGATGTTTTCTTCTCATTTCTTTTTATATTACTCCCCATGATCTCTTATGTATGTGTCAATGCATCTGGATCTGTAACTTTTAGCAACAGGATGACATTTGTTCAAAGGCCAAGACGAAATATAAATCAGTTGACAAGTACAACAAGAAGCCATGTGACAAAGCCCTGAGTGTGCCATGCGACAAACCGCCTTCTGTCATTTTTCCATTTAGAGAGTTCGACACGTAAATCATGTAAATTAAATTTGAAGACATTATTTCTGTTAGTTTGAGGAGGAAATGAGGTGCTGAGTCAGTGAAGGAGCGGCTGGCTTTAAGGGCAACAGAAACCAGACCCCATTTGGACGTCAGGGTTGGTATTCACCTGGCAGATGCAGAGAGCGCTTTTCTCACCCAGCTGCGTATTTATTTTGCAATGAGATTTTTATTTTGTGTACTCAACGCAGCTCAGGTATGGCAGAGTGTATGTGTGTGTGTGAGTGAGAGAGAGATAACAGAAAGTGAGGAGGAGATGGAGGTGGGCGGAGGAAATGTTAAAAATCACAACACAGGAACTTGACCTTTGGATGAACTTTGGAAGAGCTTGAGACCACTAAAACAACACAAGAATGTATGTTCTACATTCTTAATGTATTTAGTCAAGATAAAGGGCTTCACAGTGTTTACAGCACACATGCAACACTTCCTGTCCTCATACCCTCTGAAGTGTACGAGGTGGTCCAGTTTTTACAACATAATCTGCTGCCACTGCAACACGTAACCTTTCCTGATACTGTTAATAGAGTCCTTCAAATTTTATTTATTCGGTTCAACCAATAAATTAATTAATTCTTCTTCAATTTGATCACTGATAGACAATTAGCAATAAGGGACTAAGGCATGATTGAGTTAACTGGTCTATGTTATAACCACTGTGTTGTATCTCTCAAGTTTTTTGTTTTTATTCCTATTCCTCCTTTTCTTACTTTTCTTAAGGGTTTTTGGTCTGATCGGAGAATAGTATTTTCGCTCCAATGTTTACTGAGAATGCATTAAAGTAGTGACATTCCGCTAAATCTTCAACACTGAAATAATGCTATTATGGCACTCCCCAACAAAATATGTAAAGGTGAGTGCTTGTTTTTAATATTTGAAGATAGGTCAATCAAGGCCATATTTTCCTGCCAGTTTGTTTTGGTTTTGTGACAGTCGTAACAAATATAGCCAAATGAGCATAATACCAAAAAAGTTCAGACTGTATGTGATTCACCAATAAATTTAAAACAATAGTGCTGGTGCTTAATAGTGTTTTTTTTAACCTTGTGAAATAAACACAGGGGCAAGATGCCGAGGCCAATCATTATGCAGGAGGTAGTGACAGGCGGGAATTGGTGTCTGTGACCCAAGAAGTGTAACAAGGCTTAAAGGGTTGCAAACAAACAATTCTGTTTTAATATAGTCCAGTCCCATAAATGCAGATTGCACTTTAGTAGACAAATGTAAAATGGCTAGTCTGCCTAATATACTGTATGCATAATCTGTGGGTTATAATTCTAATAATCAGTGAGTTTGGTCAATATAACATAAGAAAATTGTTATAATTGTCAATAAGTGTTACAGTAAAACCAAAATGAGTTGGTTTGTGTTATCCATTTCAAGAAAACATTTATATATAAGACGGTGGATTTTTTTTTTTCTTTTCTTTTTTTCTTTTAAAAATTCTGGCTGATCTATCGACTAGTGAAGTGATTGGCTTTTTTGATAGTTGACAACAGGGATGGACTGAGGTAATAATTCAGGCCAGGAGTTTAACTCCTTTCTTGGCCAAAGCTGCCACAGACAGCAGTATACACAAAAATATATTCTCCAGTCACCCTATACTGATCAGCATTGTGTTTGAGTTTAACAAAAAAAAGAAAAAACAACTGAGCAACAATCTTGATTCAAGGCAAATGTGAATGTACTCCAGCTGTTTTATTCATTCCACTGCTGTTTTGGAGCAACTTAACTTACTGTGGTTCATTAGTTAGCTTTAAGCTTCACTGTGTTTGCACTTTCATTAGCTTTTGTAGTTGAACCTCACCACCTTCAGTGTTTTATCCTTATTCTGTTGGGTCCATTATTGCTAAGATTTTGCTTCTCCATGGAGAGACATGCCCACTGTGTAGCTCGCAGGATTTCTTTTTACGTGCTGTTGTTAAAACAGCAACTGAGCTAAATATAATGGGCATGTGTAGACTAACCTGACTCATAACTAGTGAACATGTAACTCATTTTGTTGCATTTCACTGCGTCCACTGCAAGGGCCTTCAACTTTCTAATTCACTCCCTCTCTGCTCCACCTTTCCTTTTATTCCATTTTATTTCACCTGGTGATGATGCTGTCTTGAAATTAAGAAACTAAACAGCTTGTGTGTGCCAAGTGAGATTGTCATATGTTGAGCCAGACGCTACAGCAACTGGCTGAGCACAATAAACCAACTGCAAGAGTGGCGCTCGTATATGATGTTGTGTGCATTTAATGAGGTCTACCTACTTATTCTTACTGGTCAAGCCAACTAGACCCTCAGCCCCCCCATCCTGTCCTGGTATTCGTAACATACACTTAAAACAACAAAGTGATTTAAGTAGTAACGTCTGTAGCCCTGTCATTCAGGATATAAATAACTCCTTGTATAAAAAAATTGGGAAAAGAGCAAATGCTAGTACTGTAATTGCCATCTATACTGTGGAGTGCTAATGTTCAACATACTTAAATACCTTCAATAGCTTCATCAAATGGTTTCCAAGAAAATTCACCAGTTGTCATATCTCATACATCTATTACACCTTAAACCACAAACGAGAGACCAAATTAAAACTGTGAAAGTGGCAGAGATGACACTCACAAAACTTTTCCTCTGATAGCTCATCAAGAGCTTCTTTTTGAAAAGTGAAGCTCAGTGTTTTTTTTAATATGTCCCTGCTGAGCTAAAAATGGTTTGCTTTGATAGCGGAGGAAAAAATGGCTTTCAAATGGTCTCCTCACGGCAGTAAACAAGCTCTGGCCAAGTAAGAGCTCAAATTACAAATGACATATAAATGTATGGGTCTACTTAGTGAAAAATTGCAATATTAGTTCATAAAACTGCAGTGTGTGTGTGTGTGTGTGTGTGTGTGTGTGTGTGTGTGTGTGTGCGCGCGCATGTAGAGCAAACAATTCAAACAATGCTGTTCTCCTCAGACAGGCACGAGTGTTGACATCAGATCTGGAAGGATGAGCAGCCAGGCGGTGCCCAAGATCACAGGAAGACAATATGCGCATATACATTTTTAAAATGTCAGTCAGAGGCAGCAACACACACTGTGAAATGAGACTCAGCAGACAGAGCTGCGGGGAATCCGGTAGAGAGAAAATCACAGTTTATTAATATATTTTATCAACCTCTGTGTCACATCATGGTCGATAGAGAGGAAACTCAAAATACAGTAACCTCTGTAAGGCCACAACTAAAGTAATAGGTTTGACGAGGCAGAGAAAAGTTCTTTTTTACAAGTAAGGTTTCAGCTTTGACATCGGTTAATCGAATAATGTAGTATATAAACCTATTCCGAATTTAAAAAAATACTCAATTTGATGTTCGGTCTCCATCAAATACCGCTCCGTAAAGGTGACAAAGTCGACATTGAATGCAACCAGGAGAGCGCGATTCATAATTCTGGGAATGTAGTCCTGAAGGTCTGGTGGGATTTTTCGAGGGGTGGGGCATATTCCGCTTTCAGATGGGAAACAAGGAGAAAAAAAACTTTGCAAACTTACGCAGCAGCGGCAGAGACAACGAAGACCTGATTTAACACCAGAAATAAGAGTCCTGGGCTCTCCGGAGAAAAGATGCAAGAATCATTTTTTAGACCATGTTTCGCTCTCGTCCTGCCTCCTCTCACCCTACCCCCACTTCCACAAACACGTCCAGCACGGACGCGCTATCCCGACGCGGCACAGTTACCCATAAAAGTTGCTCTCCAGCATTGACTTTTTTCTAATGAGTGAGCAGAGCCCTATCGACATCCTTTACTGTACTACACACACACACGCACAAACACTAAAAACACCAGGCGGCAAACATGACAGGACCGAGCGCGAGCTCATTTCCCACCTACACATACACACATAGACTCACGCAGCCAGGCAGCAGCCTTCTTGGCTGTGTTTTCACTCCACCAAGTCTTAAGTTAAATTCAGTACGTTTCGCTTTTCAAGGACACTGCAGCTCACTGTCACAAGCCTTTTATGTGGCGACGGACGCGGGCGACTTGTCCTGCAACACCAACAAGCCAAAAACAGTGGAAAATCCCGAAAAGGTTTACCTTTTTGCTGTTTCTGCTGTTATAGCCGTTGTATGGGTTGATTCCTGCCCTTGGCGGTACGGAGAGCAGCATTTTTCTCGGCGCTATGTCCGGAGCCGCGAGCTCAGCCCAGGCTGCCAGCTGACGTCAGCAGCTGGGGAGGTGAGAGCGTGGAGTCCCGCTGACTGACTGAGAGAGGTGCTGCTGCTGCTGCTGCTGCTGCTGCTGCGGCAGGACAGGCAGACAGGCAGGCAGGCAGGCAGGGGCCCCCGCTGCTGGCCCCCGGGCTACCTCAGGGGTCCCACCACGAGACACCAAGGGGGTCCCCACAGAAGAGGGGATTAGCTTGACTTTTTCCACCGCCTACTCTATTTTGAATTTACACGGACAAATGTGACTCCAAACACATGAGATACCAAAGAGTGATTTTATCAGTTTGGGGGCTGCAAGGGGGGCCATGTAGATCTGGGGGTCCGTAAAACATTCCCTTACTTTACTTAATAAGTAACATTTATACTCTCACAACTTAAATAGGGGAGACCGGGAGTGGTTGTAACACTAATGCCAACTCTTCCACCAGTCAGGGAAACAGTTGCAATAATATTTCATTGTTACCTACTTTTTCCGTACGATGGACTATAACAGCCAAATTAAGAAAAGAAAATTATAATAAGACTATGTGATTAAAGGTTTTACTTACGGGAATAAAGTCATGATAAAATCATTACTTACAAGAATAACGTAATAAAATCATTATTCATGAGAATAAAGTCGTAATAAAATCATTATTCATGAGAATAAATCATTACTTATGAGAATAAAGTCGTAATAAAATCATTACTTATGAGAATAAAGTCGTAATAAAATCATTACTTATGAGAATAAAGTCGTAGCTAATAGCTATTCTAACCTGTTAGTTGTTTACATGAGCGCTGTGGAGCATTTAGACATTACTTTATTACGACTGAAAAACTGAAATGGAAATTAAACTGTTTTTTTTTTCTTATAACAATATTTTGTGAACTACTCATACAATTAATATTGGAACAAATAGTAGTTTATGAGGTACAATTTGTTGCATTATTTTCTTTCCGGTTTTTATCAATTATTCTATTACAGCATGCTGAAGGATGACTTACTATGGATGGAGGATCATTACTTGTTGATTTTTCAGACTGCCAAGGTTCGCATGCCTGTCAGGCTGTATAGATCTGAGCATCAATATACCAGACCATACTTGGTCTCCCTTTCTTTTATCACTGATGCTGCAAGAAGACGTAAAATAATAGATTCATGGTCATTTTTCATGCAGTAATAACAGAAAATGTTATTTTGCAGCTCTTAACAGTGAGGATCTTCTGATTTATCTCCAAAGCGCATGTGAGGGTAATAATATGGGTCTGCATATTGATTCTCTTTTGCTTCTTCTTAATCAATGGTGAGTCAATACAAGTTGATAGAGCTTGAAATACTGATAATAGCTTTAGTCTTGGTATATGTGACCAGGTAATGTTACACATGTAAAACAACTCCAGAACCTTTTAACCTACCCTCAGCGGCTGTCCTTTTTGAGTCTTTTGCTGTCCTCCTCTCTGCTTGTCTAACCTTCTCTCTCTGTTTGTTTGTATTGATTGCTCAGCACTCTTTAACCTTTGTAGTAGCAACTTACTACACAAACAATACTATCCACGCAAAGTTCAGAAAAAATCCAGCCTTGCCTTGAAAAAGCTATGTTGATATAAAAGTACAGAAAGGTAATACGTGCAAAACTACGGGTAGTAGTTGAAGTAAAACAAATATTAGAATGTGTTTACTTTTTGATATGCTAATTTTACATGTATGTGTTTTAAAAGTGCCATAAAACATGATTTATAGACATTACTTATAACTGCAGAAGTCTGGCCTTTTATTTTTCTCCATTTAGCTCTCTGATAACTTTAGACTGTAAACGCATTCATCACAAATGTACATGGTGAGCCACATAGCAGCTACAAGTGTGGGGAATATACTTGTCAGTGTAAGTCAACTGTTAAAAGATTCATTTCTGAGAGAGGAAAGTAGAACAGATCCCCGTTTTTTAGATAATGAATGTCAATGAGAAAGCACCTCCAGACTTGAAAAGATGAGATTAGTGTCCCAGAGCTACTCAACCTCTAAAATGTGTTCAGATTGGAACAGTGGCAAAAAGAGCCTAATCTTAAAGTCATTATTAATAAAGTTCTCCATCACCGAGGCTTCTTTTAATGCAGTCATTACCTCATTAGTTTACTTCAGGATAAAAATCAAGTAAGGCACAGTATCTTGTGCACATATCAAGGCAGTGTGACTTTGATTCATGTACAGAGAATGCATTGTAATCATACAGTCCTTTTTGTGTAATTTGCATATGTGTTTCTTGTTTCTGCTTTTCATAGTCATTCATATTGCATTTATTACACACAGTATTTACATGTATTTATGTTTGTACATCTTCAGCTACAGGCTTTTAAGCAGAACCAGACTAAAGCTCTGATGTCTTGTTCAAATGTTTTCCCCCATTTTGCACATAATGATGAAAAGACTATAAACTAGCTGGGTGCTGCCCTTGATCTGTCTTAAACTGTTAATGATACTGCATCTCTCCTCTTTAGGAGGACATTATTTGTCCCGTTAAAACACTGAGTATGTAGCACAAATTTCCTTTTGAATCAGTCAAAGTAAAATCTTCCAGGGCATTAGCAGAGAAAACCTTTACAGTCAAACCCTTAAACTGGTCTAAAGTAAACATGCGCATGAGCTGATAATCTGGACTGATCATGGTACTGCAGCAGGTCCGGCACTAACATCGTCCTACAGCTTTCCTCTGAAGGTCACAGACTAATAAGGCTGTTAAACAGCAGTCACACACAGACACAGACACACATGGGGTACTTGACTTTAACATGTGCCATCAGCGTGTGAATGAGCGCTGTCCTGAAGTTACCTCTCACACCTTATTCACGTCTGACTACTCAGTGAGTCCAGCTTGTTATCCACTACTGCTATATTTAAAGGCCTTTTCACTTTCTCTGGTTGCAGTGATCAGAGGAGATGTATCCGGGTACACACTGCTGCGGAAACCCGATGCTTAAAACCTTGTGGCATTCAACGAATTCACAATCACAACTACAAAGAATTGGGTAATAAAATACACTGCAAAGAAATTCTGCAAATCTTATTCAGTTCAAGCAGGTCAAGCTCTCTAATTACACACCATATGCTGCTAATCACAACAAAAACCTACATAATGCACTCGTTCTGGTATTCCTAAACCGCCGCAAAAATAGTGTGAATATTTTAGTTTCTTCATGCACACAAATAGAGTTCAATATTTGTACAAGTTTAAAGAGAGGGAATATCAAAGACAGAGAGAGCATAGAGAGTCTTTGCTGGAATCTCACATGGCACTTTTTTTGTCGAACTGGTGGGCAGATTGACTTCTACTCAGAATATGTGCGCCTGTTATTTAAATGAGGGAGCTGAGCTGAGAGACCTTGTCAGTCCTTAGACAGAAGTTTGCATTTCAAAACCAAGTCAAAAAAGCTGTTATTGCAATGAAATATAAGTAACACTGGAAAAAAAAATACTAGAGTTTGTTCGTGGTCTTCAAAATAAATCTAAACTTAAATTTAGGTGAAGTTGAAGTTGACTTATCTTAAAAAAATAGTATTTTTTTCGCTATATCTTATCAAACAGCAAACTTTCTGCATTGTCCTGCTTTGCTCTTGGTAGATCTCTTCACTTTCTAGCAAAAGCACATGTATTAGAAGCCAAATGACAACAGAAGTGGTGGAAACAGTATTTGTATAAATTAGCGCTGGTGTTTCATTCAGTCTCTGCTGCCTGTCTGTGGGTTGTTCCTCCGTCTGCGCCCAGGAACACACCAGTGACATTGTTGCAGTCAGCAGAACCTCAGTCTGGCACGACCCGCCACTTTGACGACATGAACATTGTTTGGACGTCAACAGGCCGGTTGCTAAGTAACCCAGCCCCCTCCATCCCAAGTGTTCTGGCCTTATTACCTCTAGGGTAGCTAAGCTGTCTGACAGTGAGTGTGTGAGTTTGTGTGTCTGTGTTAGATTGTTTGCTTGTAATTGTGAGTGTGGGAGTGTAGAGTTACTCAATTGTCTGGCTGTGTTTAATGGGGATAGAAAAGGAGTTGCATCACCTCATTTTTCCTGTTCTAATTTTTTATGACCTGGATGTGGAAGTGCAGTGTAACTCTCAGGAGTTTCGAAACGCAGGTCAAAGGTCATTCTATAAAACCAAGGCCTCATTTGCTCTAGTTATCTGTTTAACCCTCAAGCACTATCGCTAAAATTATTAACACCATCACTATCGCCAAGTGATTTTTACCTGAAATAATATACCCAAGAAAAAGTACTTTTCATCAAAATATATCAAAATAGGACAATACAAGACAAATTAAAGTAGTTTTCTTTTATTTTTAACTGTGCAATGTTCAACAGGAGGGAAAAAGTGCCACGAGGGGACCATATTAAAATGCAACAAAATAACTGAAATTAGGCATTCATGATCAAAAAATTCCTAAAAATATATATGTATAGAAACTGTAAACTTAGTTTTTTATCCACTCATTCCTGGGACATGTGAGTCTTCCCTGGTGAAGACTCAGGGTCCTTGGCACAGTAACGGCTGCAGGAGAGAGAACCACAATATGGCAGATTTTGAGAGAGTAAAAATGACCAGCTGACTAAAATATTTCTTATCACCGTATAAATTCCTTAAAAATCACTACTCTGTGATAGTTGGTCATAACCACTGCACGAAATAAAGATAGCATGCAAATTCCAGGACCACCCTCACTGACCTTATTCGCCTACATGCAGCTATCAAATCCACCCAAACCTACTTTACCCTCTTATCACTAATGCCGGGTGAAAAACACCAGAACACGTGCCTGTAGGAAAAAGCAGGTTTTGGATCAGGTAAACAAATATGCCTTCAAAGATGTCAAAAGCAATGCTGAAGCTACCCAGAGACCCATGATACTCAGACAAACGCAACATAATGAAAACCACATAAACATGTTTGGTCGGGTGAAAATCACCCGGAGATAGTGTTCTAGGGTTAAACATGTTTTTTCTTTTAAACAAAGTCACCTAAAAAAAAA